ATTTGCCTATGCAATAAAATTGTTTGTAAAAATCGGTTTTTATTAGCAATTGTTCGAATTATTACAACCAGACACAATTCATTGTTCACAATGCCATTATTCTAAAGGTAAGACTGAATGTAAAATGCCAACAAAAAAATTCGGATTTAAAGCTGCATAATCTGTCATTTCTAAAAGGTGACAAGGTTTCTCTCGTGGTAATCCGCAGATTATGCTCACTGTTATATTCTATTTTTAGGTCTTACGCTGTAAACGTCAAACACCGACAGTTACATTGAGTGTCTCCAAGTCGACAACAATTTGATACAAACACAATATATTATCTTTTAGTATAGGAGAAGATTGGGCCGACTTAGCCATTGTTAAACAAAGCATGGTGCGACGAACAAATATTAATATGACCGTGAGAGGTGACTTAGCCTCCGGTCGAATCACCGGAGACAAACACAAACAGCTATTTGGCATTTACTGTTAAGTGTAGATGATATAATGTATACCATCCCTACATATCACATCTTGATAACTATTGATGAAGTATTGCTGGTGTGTCGAGCCGAATTTCATATGCCATTGTTCACCTTAAAATATTATTACTTTTTCATAAATTAGTTCAACGACCGCCAGGGTTAATGGCCGCTAACGAATTTTATATGCCATTGTTCACCTTGAAATATTATTTCATTTTCATAAATTAGCTTAATCTAATAACATTTTTTATTTAAATTATTTCAATGACCGCCGGCCTTAATAGCCGCTGACGAATTTATCCAAAATTAATTTGAACGTAACGTAAACAAAAGATTTAGTTATATAACGATATGACCTAGGGCATATCGTTATCATGTAGGGCAGTGAGTCTATAATTAATGTCTATATTTATATTATAAATTTTTTAATAAAAATGACACAAATAGTTAAGAACGTAATTGATAATTTACATAAATTATAGGGTAATTTGATCCGTAAATGAGTTTTCAAAATATATTAAAATTTAATAATTTATATCAACGTCTATTTTGATTCATGAAGTCATTTATAAAAATACGTAAGGTTAACTTAGTGATGTCACAAAGATATAAAAACATATCACGTACAATATCGAAAGTTTAAATAAAAATATTTTAGTCTAAAAACGAAAATTTTGGGCGCTCCAGAAGTGTGTTTACCAATACGGAGGTAACTAATTTTGGTACATCAAGTTGTGTTAAGAGACTGAAAACTATGGAAAGGAGGTATATTCACTTGGCTAACACAGACAGTCCCCGAACTCGAAACAGCATTAAAATAAAAAAAATCGGAATAAAATAATGGCCTAACCCTAATCTGGTACACACACTATGGGAATACCAAATTTTGTGGGGTATAAACTGTACATTTTGTTAAAAAACATCATCACATTTTAACTAATTGCTAATTTGTGTTTTTTAAATCAAGTCATTGCCGTTTATTCACTTGATCTAATCGTTTAGGACGAATGGACAGCATTCTGTAGAAAATACATATACATATGCCACCTTTTTTGAATCGACAAAATTTGTGCTAAAAAATAGTCTAAAAAGACTACGAAATTAAATAATTAATACTCCATAAGACACTTCACTTCCATCTCAAACTAATGAAAATTTGAAAAAAACGTATTCAGAGATAAATCGACCTTTTGTAGCAACTACAACAGAAAAATTGCTAAAAATGATTTATCGGTTAGATTTGTGTCAACACAGTTCTTTAGTGAATTATTATTGAAAAGGGTCATATACCTAAAATGTCACTATATCCAATGTTTTTTTAATAGCTTGCAAAAATATTAAAGAAACTTTATTAAAACGTTCAAATTACTATTTAAATTAGTAGCAATCAACATTAATCGTGTCTTGAAGTGTATATTATGGTTTGCTAAAAATTGCCATTTCGAAGATTTTATATGACGCATGTTACCATAATTGTAACAAAATTGGGAAATTAATTTTAAGCGAAACCATAACGAAATAAAATAGTAATTGAGAAAATCAACTGCGAGCGAGTGCAAAAATGTACGGTGACTTTATTCTGCTAATCGCAATAAATATAACAGATATAAAATTTCGTTAAATTCTTTTTGCGTTAATGGTACTTCAGGGCTTCTGCTTATATTTCAAATTTTGGATTAGAAAACGGCAGCGAGCCGACCGGTACCATGACAACGAAAAACATGAATGGGCAAAACGGATAAAAATTAATTTGGTCTGCAAATACGAAAAAGGTGGTGCAAACACGCTATATTTAACTTCGCGCTAACGCAAGCCGGGACAGCGAACCACAAACAACTAATAATCGCCTCGAGGTGCTACGATGCAGTCAAGTTTCAAGTTTACAAAGTTTTTGAATTTTTTCATTGTTGCACCGTCATCCATAGATAGGTTATGCCATTGGCGAGCTTGAAAAAGTATGGTCTAAGATAAGGTCCAAACTCGACCAGATGTATTAAAGTACTTTTGTTTGAATCAGTGATGCCGATTAATCTGAAATTTGTGAACAAAAGCGGTTTTCGCTGTTAGCCTATGGGCACAAAATGGTACCGTCATACTATTCTTTTACCAAATATGAACACAATCAATTCAAAAACGGTTGAAGTTTAACTGACAAGAACAACTTTGCAAACATGAGCAATATTCAACTGTCGACACGCCACGTCACCGGCGTCTCAGCACGCAAATAATGAATCGTTAGATAGATGCTTATCTTGTATTATAGAACTAAAAACAAGTCTGATTATCGATCTTCCTGTTTGTTCGAATGGCGATGGGATATATCGTCCTGATCGTTAATCATCTGAATGGCCTCCTCAGCAGAGAGCTCTAAACCTTCCTTTTAGAAGCGATTTTTATTTTGAAGGCAATCACAATTAACTGCCTGGAAGAATTTTAATGTAATAATGTTCTTTCAACGATTTCAAAAGTCCTAACCTTTATTCTAATGTTGAAGAATGCGTCAGAGTCTGTGCAAATATATTCTATTTTCTCTATTGATTTCAAAATGTAGTATTCGGAACTAAAATGTAAAAGAAAAACATTTTTTCTATATCATACATGGCAATATTTCGTCGCTTGAAATGCTTTTTAGACTCCTCAAATTTTTTCGAAAAACCCTTGACCCGCTAACTGGTAGGTTCAACTGGCAATTAAAAAAACAATTTAGTTTATACGGATGGGAAAAATTTGTCTTCAGTCGGCGCTCGGTGTGAGTGCGTTCCTATATTGAAATATATTATTTCAATGGTCGGACATGGTTAATAAATTGCAAACATCACGTTTGCCTACAGGCAGCATAATAAAAATCGAAAGGCTGTCAAAAGGGTCAATATATGGCGCAGAAAAACACACTAATATCATCTATACAGTTTTCCCCGTGACACAAGTTTAAAATGCGGTTCCTTTTGAGTGAATATTATTATGGGAGTATGCACTTCATCAGAAACACAATTGTATCCCCACTTTGTGAATAGGCAATTTGATTTTCATACGAAGATTTAAACACGATTTGAAGCGTTTTTTTACTTTAAAAATTTTTTCGTAACCGCGTCTTTGGGCTACTAGAATGATATGTGAAAACGAACGGAGACATCGCCACTTTTCTCGCGTTGTAATTTGCGGTATAGGTGACATTTTGTGAATAACAATAATCGAACAACAGAACGATTTATTTAAGAATAATTCTTCGGTGGACATCGCATGCTGGTAGATCCTTCTTTGTTAAAAATTGTATCTAATATTCATATACCGACGTCAGCATAACGGTACCTCTCGTATTACCCAAAAGGAAAATAGAGCTATTCTCATGTTATGACTCATATAAATTGAAGGTAGGTTTGGTGCCAGTCGTTATCAACTTTTGAACATAGTATGAAATAGTAAAAATGTGTAAAAGATTCTAGAAGGCGAAACCACACTCTCGCAGTTTCGCAAATGCATAGTTGGTGGTGCCAAGACCTTACAGGAATACAAACGTAATCTATATCTTATCGCAATCGATATCTTAGTAACATGAAAATTTATGGTTGTTTACGAACTCTTGTACGGTATTCACTTGTCTGTCACGCTGGTAAAAAGCAAGAGTACAATGATCAAATAGTACGAAAACAAAGTAATACGGGCATGCAGTCCGTCACAGTAGACTGCCGGCACCCCAGTCTACATGACTTCATATGCCCAGCAGATTGCAACAAACGCGTAACCGCCACAAGCTGCGCAATTTTTTAATTTTGATTACGTCATAGCACACAAAAAACGAGTCTCATAAAGCATACAGAATTTTTGAAATATTAATAAGTACGGGCCTTCTGGCGATAAATACAATTCTAATTCAATTCTATTCAACACATACCGGGCAGTATATATATATATATATACCTTCACGGTAAAAACGAATACCCTTTTCAGTGTCTTGTCGTTTACTATTAAACATGAGTAGAACACCGGCTGGTTTAAGTGCAATTATAGCGGTGCGGCAGTAGACTTCTTAGCAATAGGAAACTCAGAACACTGAAAATTCGGTTTCAAGACAAAATAAGATTCTGACGACTAGAATTATTAATGGGGCTTATTTTGCCATGACGGAAAACCCAAAATTGCGATGATTTTTTGTTTTTGTTTTAGTGCCCAAATTGAGGCTTTAGAACTTCGCACAACTTTGTTAATTAAGTGTCAAACACGAAGATTGCCCGACTATGCTATTCTAATGTAGTTTATAAATTGCATTTATTTCCACACGGGAAAAAATATATACGATTGATACCATGAATTCTAGGCGTTGCCCATATAACGCATAATAGATTAGGCCACAAACAAGTTTCAACCGGAGGTAGATTGTGTGCGTCATGAGCCTTCGTGCCCTACGGGCAAGTTAAACCTCTCTGATGCGGTATAAATCGCCTAACACAAAGCGTTTATCCACAGTTTAAAAGTTTTAGAATGGTTGTAGTTTTGAGTACAAAAGTACGGAGTATGCTTGCAAAATTACCAAATGAAATTTTGCTCCTTGGTTAATCAAGATTGCGTGAGTGAATTTTGTGAAGACCGTTTTATTTTTTACTTCTATTGTGAGAGCATATTTATGAAAGTCTTTTACGCGCTTTAATGAATCGATAAATAAACGTGAATAAAATAAATTATGCTCTTTACTAAAAAACAAACGAAATTTGACATTTATTACGAATTTTTATCTTGCATTTGTGAGATACAATTGTTAATTAATATAAATAAACCCTTGCCGATGTGGATTTGTGTTATTAGCATCGTCCATCTCTAATATATATAACAACTTTCCATTATAGACTCTCACTAAAATGACCGCGCTACTTGCTGCAAAAGTCCAATATTGTTTGATGAAGTTTTCGAATTGTACTGGAATCGTTAGAAATGATCGACTGGGGGAATCTTATTGAAAAACAAATGTCGCTGTATTGACGATTTACCCAAAACGTTTCTAATTTAACATTTGTATTATATTTATCATTCTAGTCTCTTGGAATATAGGACTACAATAAATTAAGAAAATAATGCTACGACAAGTGGCGATCGCCTGTGCTGCTCTGCTCCTTATATTTATTCAAGGTATGTATATCTTATTAATTTATTAAAGGACAGTACTAGTATTCAATGTTGAACTAGATACTTGAAAGTTTGATAAAATGCCGGGTACTTTATCAATCAAACAGCCGTTTAACCAAGTTTCGTGACTTTGGCCCAATTCCGGCGAGTATTCAGTCTGCTTTAGGGTGGAGCGCATCCAAGTATTTTTTTATTCGGTACTTCCATATCTTCACAAAGCAAGGCTGAATGAATACAGAAGCATGTCAATTCTTTTTGCTGCCCGGCGCGAGTTTCTGATATTGTTATTAAACCTAACTTCAAAAATAATTAGGTGGATAAATAAATTATAAATGTTGTTATACATGAGTAAGATCAAGTAAGAGTGAAAGGTTTTTATTGTTAATAATTTAATCAACAAACTCACCTCTACAACGTGCTGCCCGGGGAGCTGCGTCTATGGCCCTTCCCTAAGCTCACCCCTGCCCGTGAATGCCACCACTGATATGTAAGCGGAATCATTGTAAGAACCGAAAACTTTGAGTTTCGTCCACTAAGATTAGGTCACTTGGGGTCAGCATATTGGTTGAATCTAAAATCTTTAACCTGATATTAAATTTTCTTATTTTCAAACAGATGCATATTCGCAACAATGTAGCGAAATACCTTGCGGCGATTTAGATACAAAAACAGAAAGACAATGCCTTGATTTTCGCAATGGAGACGGCGATAAGCCCTGTTGTTGGGATCCAAGCGCGGATAAGGGAGCAGGGGCCTGCTTAGCAAAACGTGACGATACAAAATATAAACGAAGCGCAGGGGGAGCAAAGTTACAGGAATTTGCGAGAAAGCATCCCCACGGATTCAATCCTAATCCCGATCCGAAAGGTTTGAAGAAACTAGCTGAAAATATGAAGATAAATAAGGATGATGTAAGCGTAAAATACATATACAGCGTCAAAACGTTATATATTGAAATTGCAGACCATAATTTTTTTCAAACTTATTACCGTATCTTATTAATTTAGATTGAAACTCACAAGACTTAATATTTACATTTTTTCAACATATATATTATATCGCTGTTCGAAAAATTTCAAACGTGAAATCTTTATATAAATAATTTCAGTTTAAAAATAACTGAATCTCCTATTTTTACTCAAATGATAAGACACAAGTATCTTATTTCGATAGGATAGGATTTACATATTTATCCCGGGAAGAGGAAAGCCGATGAGGCGGCTTAATCATATGGCGAACCACGGCCTCTCGTCCGGTTACCAGTCCATGTCGGGTATGGGATTAGTTAGTTATTTGTTTTCGGAAGCATGGACTTGATGGTGGAGGAAGCCGTAACCGACCAGCATTTACGTGAACCTCCCTACGACGGCGAGGAGTCCAGCGATCCTCTCGCACATAACTATCCCGCATGGGATGCGAACCCACGCAGAGGAATCAGAGATGCGGTGGCGAGCGTATTCCTAACGCTTAACACGATGAGCCACACCGCCGCGCCAGTTGATAACAGTCATAAAGTGTTAACCAACTTTCAAGGGGGCGCATTTTTAAACTTTGGCACTGGCGCAATTTTACATAGATACGCCACTGCTCCGAACAAAACCCTACAGAAGCAGCTACTGATATCTAGCGATGTCAATGGAGCTTCGGTTTGTAATGGGATTATAAGACGACATGTATAATCTGCGATGCTAACACAGTTACCGTGTTTCCCCGAAAATAAGACCTGCCCTGAAAATAAGCCCTCGTCTGAATTTTGAAAATGATTTCAATATAAGCCCTCCCCTTAAAATAAGACCTAGTCAATAGCTCAATTTTTTTGTGCCTATTCGATAGCAAGAAGTCTCTCTCCTATACGTTTCAAATGATTAATAATCTATGTTTTGCAGATATTTCGAATAAAAACGTGTTATTTATAAGTAAATAGATATCGGTTCACTGATTTTGTATATTTGAAATCTCGTAATTCTCTACTTTGTGTTTTTGTTTTCAATGAATGAAAGTATAAGACATTTTCTAAAAATAAGCCCTAGTGTTATTTTTCGGAAAAAATTGAAATAAGGTCTTATTTTTGGGGAAACACGGTAGTTTAAACCTCCGCTAGGCTTTCAATGCACAATAAGACTTGCGTACTATTTCACCAAAGTAAATTGCAGCCGGGTAGCAATTCCTGATGATGAATTGAAATATAGAAAAACCGTTATCTGATATGTCAAATATATGTTTTGGCGCTCACAAATGTATTAAATGAAGTAAAAGTACTTAAACAATTACTGAATAAAAAACAACAAACCTGGTTAGGATATATTGGGAACTGACTTTATAACAAAATTGAAGTTGTAAAGGAACTTTATTGACACCTTGCATATATTACAGCGCTGTTTTCATTTTATAACTTTTGATAATTTTATAACTCATGATAACCCTAACCTGGTACACATACTACGTTCCGGTGTCCGCTATCTTGGTTCACATACTCCGGGAGTACCAAATTTTGTCAATATTCAAATATAAATCACATCTGATATTCACATATTTTATATAATGCAATCGACTTTTCAGGGACTTGATGAAAAAGGTGTCAATGAAGTAAAAAGATCTCTCTCAGGATTTGCTCTTAACCCTCTCGCCCTTGCTCTCGGAGGTTCATCGCTTTTCCCAGAATGTCCAGTACACGTGAAATACTGCTACAGGTAGGGTAGTAAATTAGGAGCTCCCAAAGTATGTGCATCAAGATGGCGCACAACCTGAACATAGTATTTGTACCAGGTTAGGGTTCAGGTTGTGCGCCATCTTGGTGGACATACTTCCGGAGCGCCGTAAATTATTATCTATGAGCTTCTTATTCTAACCTATTTCTTTATAGTCGCGTTGAAAGCAATTACCACAATGCGCGTCAGCCATGTTTAACCGAATGGTTCTATTTTCGAGCGCGCAGGAAAAATTTAAAAACAAATAAAAGTAACATACTACTACCAGAAACTTCTTTACTTTCGAATGAATGAGATTTCGTGATTTGGGCAAAAATTAAGATTTAGACTAGCTTTCGCGTGTACGAATCATTTGGGTACTCCCGGAGTATGTGAACCAAGATGGTGGACACCGGAACGCAGTATGTGTACCAGGTTAGGGTTACATAGAGACAACAAAATAGTCTACTACTTAGTAGTGGGAATGTGTGGCACAGAGTGTGTGTGCGTATGTGTGACATGGAGACAATAAATAGTCTATTACTTGCTTGCATGTGTGTGCGTGACATAAAGCCAACAAAATAGTCAACAACTTTCTGGTGGGAGTGCGTGTGTGTGACATAAAGTCAATAAGTAGTCTATTACTTTCTTTTATGTGTACGTATGCGTGTCGTGGAGACAATAAATAGTTTATTACTTGCCAGTGTGTGTGCATATGTGTGACATAAAGACAATACGTAGTCTAGTAATTGCTAGTGTGCGACATAAAGTCACTTGATGTAACAAAATAATTTATTTTCAAACCTCAGGGTACCATGTGGAGGACACAGAAGACCCGATCTGGAAAACAATCCAAACGCTTGCTTGAGCAATCCTCTATGTTGCTACGACTACAAGACGGCTTTCTACAAACGAATATTCGGAACTCGAATGTTAGGAGATTCGCCCTCTTGCTATTATGGCGCCACTTCAAAGCAATGGAGGTGAGTCCAATTACCATATTTTACCATATTGGACACCTGGTTATAATTTGCACCGTCAATAAATTACGTATACCTGGTCTTTGCCCGCACATAAGGCACACCTGGCTATAAGTACGGTAATCGGTACTGGTGCTGGTTTCATTTGTGAGTTATAAAGCACAAGACTAACGGCAAGAACTTCCGTCCCAGCAAGAAAATTTGTCGTTCTTGTGGACTATTCTTTAGTTTCTAATTATTCTTACTATAAGTGCGACCTACTACCACTATCTACTAGCTTCTGCCGTCCAGTCCGTGCATCTGGTACAAATAACTGGCTAACTAATTCCATACCCGATATGGATCAGGAATACGCTCGCCACCGCACCTCTGATTACTCTGTGTGGATTCGCAGGTTCGAATCTCATGTGGGATAATTATGTGCGAGAGGATTTCTGGACGGTGACCGTACATTTGAACCCACGTACATTTGAAATCATGTGCATTTGAACCCATGTGCATATCCGCGGGTTCAATCTATATGCGGGTGCTAAAACCCATTGGTTAGGTTAGTATGGGTTCAAATATCCGTAAAACAAAAAAATTGCCATAGGTGCAATAGTATGCAGGTGCAATTGTCGTGGGTTCAAATGTACGTGGGTTCAAATGTAATGGAACCTTGCTGGACTGGAACCTCGCCGCTGTAGGGTGGTTCATGTAACCGCTGGTCGGTTACGGCTTCCTCCACCATCAATTTCTTGCTTCCGAAAACAAATAACCAACTAATCACATGCCCGACATGGATTGGTAACCGGACGAGAGGCCGTGGATTGCCATATGTTTAAGACGTCTTATCGGCTTCCCCCTCCTCCGGGATAAATATGAAAATCCTATCCTAAGTTGTGTGAATTGCCAGTCCGAAATCACTGCAATATACTATAACATAACCATAGTTTTTATTTGAAGTATATAATTATTTCAGGTCCGTTACCAAGTCTATCAGGCCATGGAATCCGTTTTTGACCAAATTCATTTTGCAAATCTTCAAGCCAATCTTCAATACTGCTGCGTTCAATATTGGTGGACAATTAGCGTGTAGCAAATCCTTTGGGGGTTTTGGGAAAAGAGCGTATCCAGGTAAGCTGTCTATGTTCAGAACATTAGAATGGGTGAAAGCACTTACATCGCGCAGTCAATGGTAAACCCAATGTATACGGGTGATCTCAGGATTTTTGACACCCCTTTACAATTTTTGTCATATCTCATTGTTCAAAAATGCCATTAAAAATCACTAACCTGTCGTTAAAAAGGTCGTTTTCAGCACTATTTGAGAGCCGTCGGCGTCGCTAGAAACGTGTAGCCTAGCCCTAGCCTACCCCTACCACATTCTCGACACGTGACGTGAATACGAGAGAAATTCAAACTTTTTTGTAAAAGAAGTTTCTAAGTCTGCAAACTATAGTAACCTCAGAAGAGATAGGAGCAATATCTCGTTTTAAAATTGACTGTTTTTTGTTTTTCACAACCAGTCGGTGAAAAATCAAAATTGGATTGCAATCTCGTTTCTGGGTGCTGGGATGACGATGCCCCTGAAGGTTCTAGATGCACTATGGGTTCAGCTTTCTTAGAGCAAATATTCGGCTTGCAATCAGAAGTCTATCCGTCTTTGTACACGTCCGATCCATCCGATACAAAATGTTCCTCAAACGTAAGTTAATATAATTGTAAGTTTTCTCTATATATCCCTTGAACGACCTGTTCAATTTCCAGGGAATTATAACAAGCACTACAGAAATAATTTCACGAGTTGGGATATGATAGAAAAAAACACGAACGTGACAACTATTAATTACAGAAGGATAAGGAAGGGATAAGATGCGCAATTTTCCAAATTGATAAATTATTATAATCGATAATTTGAAATCAAAAATCAATTCACTAAAGTTTGAGTTGATCATTTTCGATGATGATTTCAGAATCGAATAAGGTATTCTTTTTGAATCAAATCTAGAATATTTTGAAGATATTTAGTTGTATCGACTGTTTTATTGTATAAGGTCTTCAAGGCACATAAATTAGGTAAAATAATTAATCGATAACTCAGACAGTTCGCTGAGTGTTCACACACAATACCAATCATCTTTCATCATAACTCACTCGACAGAAAAGAGTTACATGTCAGAATTGCATTTTAAAAATAGATGGCTTGAATAAAAAAAATGACGAATCCACCTTGATCTTCGGGCGGACAGAAAAAAGCAAGATGGCGGCGATTCGAAATTCCCGTCTGAACCGATTCGAATAATTTACTATTCGATTCGAAATGCCCAGTCCTAACTATATTTAGTTTATAAAGTGATTCTTAAAATACGGAAAGTCAAATCCAAGCTAAAATTCTAAAATACGTTAAAATATTTTTACTATCTTATGAATCTTTATTTTTTCCACAATTAAACCAAATCCATTAACTTTGTTCATTTTTATTTCAACAGTGGTTTGACTATGGACCACGAGCTTACAATCGTCTACCATGTGGGGTTGGACCTGCTCCACCTGGGATTTTTGAGAAAGTGTATCAATGGTGCCCACCTAGCCACTGCTGCATAAACTACGCAACCCTGTTCGGTATGCAGGTTTTGATGTTTTAGTATTTTAATTAGTACTGATATTGTTGCTTTTAATGGATTAAAGGCATTTTTTATATCAGCTGAATGCAAAATGAAAACAATTTGGTTTATACCAAAATTAACTCAACGCCTGTGAGGACCAGATTTCAGTAGTCATTTTGTTGACGTCTTAGCTACTTGTCACCTACATTACTGCTCTTAGAGCCGTCTCTATTTTTATTTATAATGTGGCCCCTGATATTATCTGATATATTTGGCCACCCAAACAACGACTGGCAACGACTTTTATACGGAGGTACTAACTCAAGTGACAGTGACAGTCGGACATAGCTAAGTACTTCACTCAAACCTCCGAGCATGTCACCGATCCATTATTTGTACTTCGTTTGGCACTCCCGTAGTGTGTGTACCCGGTTTGGGTTAGACCATAATTTCATTCGATTTCCCTTTTTTAAGTTCTATTAAGAGTTGTCTTGAGACTGTCTGTGTTAGCCAAGTGAATATATCCCTGCCCATAGGCTTCCGTCCCTTTACACAACTGGATGTAAAGTAGGCGAACAAAATTTGTTACCTCCATATTGGTACACACACTTCTGGAGCGTCACAAGTTTATTAAACATTATATTAATGGTAAATAAAGACTTGCACCTAGACTAGGACCTAGTGTATTCATTCTGCCAGGCAACGTTTAAAAAGACAAACACGATTTACTATAATTATTTGCTTTCATTTCAGTTGGCGGTGAAAGCGGCGGAGGCGGTTTAAGTGACCTGCTTCTCCTTAGCTCTCTCGGCGGCGGTGGTCAGGGTTTTGGTAGCCTCGGTGGCCTCGGTGGTCTTTTTAATCCTACCGGCGGTGGCTCAACGCCATTTGATAGTTCCATTTTTGCGTATCTCACTCTCAGCGGCACAGATTCAGGATCTTCCGACTTGGGCTCTCTATTTTGTCCCTATAGATTCGCTCTGACGTCAGATTTGTTCGCCGATTTAGCGGAATATGCAATTGGATGCTGCACAATTCCGGAATGCTACCATAAAAAAAAAGTAAGAAAATATTCACTGTACTTTTTTACGTCATAAAATTGTTCAAAAACAGCAATTGCAAAACATTCACAATTTTTACACAACCAAGGTTGATATTTGCAGGCAACCACTCAATTACATAGAAATGGAATTTGTCATTTTAAAAATCTTTTGAAATATCCTTTTGTCGTTTTTAATGTTTGTAATATACGTGAAGACAATTATAAACCAATGCCCGACTTGAGAAGTTGTGGGTACTCCTGTAGTATGCGAACCATGATGGTGTACACCGGAACGAAGTATGTGTACCAGGTTAGGCCGCAATTTCAGGTACAAATACTACGGGAGTCACTTGGCTAGTCCCCGAACTCGTAATAGAACTAAAATAAGGTGAATTGTAATAAAATTATGGCCTAATCCTAATCTGCTGCACATACTACGTTCCGGTGTCCGCCATCTTGGTTCTCATACTACAGGAGGACCAAGTTGTGTGCTCTAAAGTCTAAATAACAATCGTAAATCAGTCATTGAGGTATTACGTGCAAATCATATCAAACAAAGAAAGTCACTGATATGTGCGAACATACATAATTTTATTCTCATTATGTTTGTATCAGTTAATCGGTGGATATGTTCCTCCACCACGTCCGCAACCACCTCGTCCACAACCTACAGCACGTTGGGGAGACTACGGGCCATGCTCAGCTGCTTGCGGTCAACAAGGTTCCCAACGCAGACAGTGCTTTTACGGAAATACTCCAACATCTCCTCAAGCATGCTTTGGCTCAGATTCGAGAACTTGCTATGGTCCGCAATGCAGTAAGTGAAGTTATAATTTTAGAAAATCTTTAACGCAAAATAACTTGAATGTACTCACATATAATGATAAATTACTAAAATGAAAAAAAAAGTAAACAATTCCAAGATGATATAAATACTTGACTGTACTGCACTTACCTATTAATATAATAAGGTTTACGGAAGGCAACATAGTTTAGGCTAGAGTTACTGATCGATCGATCTTTCGAATAAAAACGAATTGTAAATTAATCGAATCGGTTTTCACAAAAATTTCGAATTGTCAACATCTTTCTTCGAGGTGTATCCCTCCATTTTCATGAGACCATATTTCCGAAGTGCAATTCTGGCATATGACTATTTTCTTCCTGTTTAGTTATTGATGATTTTTCTTATAGTGTTTGACAACTAAGCAAACTGGTTGAGTGGTGAATTGTTTTTTAGTAATTCAGGTGCCAGGGGACCCATTACAATAAAAATGCAAATACAATAACTTCGTACTAAATTGGAATATCGTCCAAGTATTCGAGATTCGATTTTAGAATCATTAGGTATTTGAAAATGCCCAGCTCTAGCTATTGACGAATGTATTGACATACTATAACTATGATGTACTTCGACCTTTAATTTAGGTTACGGAGTATGGGGTTCTTGGCAGCAACAGGGAGCTTGTTCTTCCCCTTGCGGCTCAGCCACGGCCACGTTTGTGAGGAGTTGTTACGTGAATGGTCAATTAGTACAATCTAGCCGCTGCAATGGTCTCAACACGGAGCAACGAAGCTGCGTAAACAATCCTCCTTGCACTAGTAAGTTAAAAGTCATCAGCCTAAAATTGCATAGATATATATTTTATTAATTTGATTCGGGATAAGAAATTTGACGAAAATTATCGATATTATGTACGGTATTCGGCGCTCCCGACGTATGTGCACCGAGATGGCGCACAATTGAACCCTAACCTGATACACATACTATGTTCAGGTTGTGCGCCATCTTGGTGCACATACTTCGGGAGCTATCCGTATTTTTCGGACCACAAGGGGGCTTTTAATTCCTTTTTTATTTAGGGATTCAGGCTTTATTGCCCACACTCAAAACCAGGGTCGGTATTGCCCTTTAAAAATTTTCTGTGGTCTTTGTTTGAGTGCTATGACGTCACAAAAATTTGCGCATCTTGTGGCTGTTCCACTTTCTTGTTTTCCATACCAATAGCCTACTGTGACAGATTGCATACCCGTACTACCTGGTATTGATTTTCGTGTCCAAATATTTGAGCGTCGCTCGCCGATTCGTTTTTTTTTTATAAAACGCTAACGGTGTGTCTAATTTATTATCGCACACATTCTATAGTCAAGTTTCTGGTGTTTCTCTATCTGTACATAGAGGAAAAGAGGTAAATAAGGATCGTTTTGTTGTTATGTTGTTGTTATTATTGGTATTCTACGTGTTGTTGTTGTTATGAAAATATACTTTTCTCTTTAAATATTGGACCGATTGCTTAAAAATTTTCAATGGTTAAAGATTGTTGTCGCTATTTTCTGTTTTGATTTTGCAAATTTGGTCAAGCGTGGTCGTAAACACTGCGACACATTACTGTGACTTATTTCATACCAGTACTACTTCGTTTTGGCCTTCTTGTCCATATATTATCGCTCTATTCTTGTTATTATGACACAGATATTAATTTTTTACTCAATGACATTATATTTTTAAAGCATATGAATGGGCAGAACCATACCAACAAATGACTGCATGCAGTGTCAATTGTGGAACAGGTACAGCAACGTACCGTCCTACACGTTGCAGGGACAGTCGTGGACAGAATGTGCCCACTAACTTCTGCTCTGAGCCACGTCCGTCAGAGACTCGCCAATGTAGAAGACAACCATGTCAAGGTAACATTTTCAGAATTATTTTAAAAGAAATGTTTATAGAAGTAATCGAATCCCCAGTAACTGCTTTTTTGCTTAATAACTGGCGGTGACTGCTGTGTTGCCAGAAATGTTCTTGACCAACAACACTAGCCTTTGCGCAAACGAACAATCCAAATCAGTGGTTCTCAAACGATGGGGCGCGCCTCACAATGGGGACTTATACAATTTTTTTAGGCTGCGTGAAGCTAATTAAAAATACTTGTTAGATCTGATCCTGCCCGTCTTTTTTTGGATATTTACATTTATTTATTTTTGATATTTTCATTTCTTTTTTTTGGATATTTACGTTCCATCCACGTATTGTAAACTTGTTTTTTGAATGAAACATACTTTCGCCATAGTTATTTTTGAGATGGTGCGCGAGATTTGACAAATTCTAAAAAGGGGGCGCGGCTAAAAAAAATTGAGAACCGATGATCATTCTAAATATAAACAACTAGCTCACATTAAATTTTCATTCACTTTATTCATATTCTTGATACTTATTTGATAGTGACAGCTCAATGGAGTGCTTGGGTGAGTGGACCATGTGGTGCTACCTGCGGAGCAAGAGGTTTAAGAGAGGAAACAAGAAAATGCGAATTCGAAGATGGTCGCGCTGCGCCAGACCAGCTGTGCGGTGGTAACTCAGATCGAGACAAAAAAAGAATATTACCGTGCACAAGTCCAGCATGCCGTAAGTAACAACGTCATTGTAAGATATTTACCATTGAATAAAAGATATTTCCGTAGTGTGTGTACCAAATTATTCACATACTTCGGGAGTACCCTATTTTGTGGGCTTTATTGGGATTCGTTTTTTACTTCAAGTTTATGTCATCAAAATAAAAATTCCGTGCCGTGATTCCGGACTTACATCTCAGTGTTCTATAAACGATTTAATACTAATTCGTTTTGGCCTTCCATGTCTATATATTTGAGCATTGCTCTCTTGTTGCTTATGGCAACTTTACTGTCCAATCGCCGCCTCGTGTTGTGGTACATACTCGGTTTATAACTGAAGTGTGATCAGGAGAGGTCTCGATGAAAGTACAAACCACGAGAAGTGTATTTTATGACAAAACTTTGTTTTTTAGAGGATCAATATTATTGGCTGGGAATAGGTTGTGAAAGAGACTTTTCATCAGGCCAATGTACAATCATAGCGAGATGTTATAGACGTGTAGGCGGTGGATACGTACCGGTGAGTTAGAGTTTGATTTCTCAAGGCATTAGACCCAGAAAAATACTTTTATTTTATCATTACAAAAATGCTTATTTTGAAAGTGCTGGCGCTCACAAACTGGTTTACTTGTTCTTAACCGTGTATTTGGTTCGTAATATTTGCCCACCTTTCATTCAAAAGACCTGATAGCTTATTTTAACTAGTCTAGCACGGCTTTTTCGATTGAAATGCCGCGGAAGACGAAATGACTATCACGCTCTATGATTTATACCCACAATTCTAAAATACAACTTAGGTCTGAAAAATGGATAGCAAACTCACGAAAAAATCTAATTATGAGAGAAAAGTCTGAGTGACTGACGACGTTTAATTGCTTCGGCATCTTGCTTAAACGATTTTAGGTGTCATGTACATTTTTAACCCTGTTGAAATTGTATCTATAATAGTAATAAATGTGAATATACGTTTAACAAGTTGAACATTTTTTCAGGGATCCTGCCCCGAAAGAAGAATACCCGGCCAACCGTGCGCAAGCTGCCCCTACGCACAATAGGACTAAAGTAAAACAACAACGCGAACAATTGTAATCATCGTTACTGGAAACCTATAGCATATGTGACTGTTTAGAATTCTCTGTGTATTACATTGTTAGAGTAATAAATTTGCAGTGATTTCCATAAATTAAGAAATTTTAGTTGCGCCGATTTGATTATTTTTCACACAATCGATTTATTTCAGTAATTCCTTATCTGATGATAATTTTCTGGACATTGTCACAATATTTCACAACATGTGTAAATCTATTTTTTCTGTTGAATTGTATTTCATCGTGTAAATATATATTTGTGATGTTCATGATATGAGATTATCAATGGTGTCGTACAATTGTTAGTAATCAATTGAGTATTTCAGTGCAACAGCGTAACATTTTTTGCATATGTCAATCCCAACCCTCATCTGGTCGCGTCATCCAGAAATTACGTCACTACAACGTCACAGTGACGTAATAAGGTCCTTCAAATTATACGAAATGGCATTCAAGACGCGCAGACGATCACCCGAAGTCGAGCAAACTATTTCTCTCGTTTTCTCATTGCAATGATCCCGATATGAGAGACATCGCTGAAGTTGGTGATTTCATTATCGTCGGCGCAGATCGTGGGTCTACTTTGGCAAGATCTATGACGTGATTGTGACGTCGTAGTGACATAATTTTTGGATTACGTAGTCAGGTGGGGGTTAGAATTGACATGTGCAAAAACCGTTATGCTACGCCCACTAGAAGTACTTGAGGTAGGAAACTCCAAGACTCAGAAAGTGTATGGCGATACAGAGTTGTGCTGTGCCTATAAAACCTCTAGGCTTAAATGTCTATTTAGTGACAATTCTCTAATGTGAAATTTGTAACGTATGGATATACAAAGAGTATTGTAATAAATTTTAGCTAGGGAATATGTACGTCGTTTGTTTGCTTGAACAGACTACGATTTTCTGAGTTACTTGCATAAAAGAATAAAAAAAAACGGTGAACAAGCTATGCTACCTGGTTAAAATCGTGACGTCATAATATCCTCACATAGTGCAGTGTACAAGTACAACAGTTGTCATATTGGATTTTGTAACGCCAAATTCGCCATTTTTGGCTTTTTTCAAACACGTTTGGCGTCAGAATTTTCGTTGGCTTTTTTAAGTCTCTTTGAGTGTCTATTTTTAAAATCATATTAAATACAATAATATTTAGTGTGTAACAATAGCCTATTGCTTATCTACTCAATATTTGGATTTCCCCGAGCATCGAATTCCTTGTTTATTACCTTAACGCTTAACCATAACCAATCAGAAATAATTGCAGTTTCTGCAACCGCTCAGACAGATGTTCAAAAGGTTGTAAACATTAATTTTTCGTGTTATTTGTCAGTTTTTAGTTCTGTTTCCAAAAAATAGTTGTATAACTTAATTGTCAATATGCCTTCCCAAGAGCTTTAGTTTAGTTGCATCAAAATTTAGTCTCTTAACTACGCTAAAATTAGCTATCAGTAGTCCACCTGTAAGCGGCACGTGGTTTGATAATTTTTTAATACAAATGATGGTTTCAAAATGTTTAGGGAGAATGTTTGAAGGTAAGTCTATATCACATACTGAAGCGACACCCTGTATATATATATTGAATTGTTGGATAATGCTGTCCGCTTGATATATTTTTTTCATTTTTTTTTGTTTAACTTTTTAATGTAGATGTCAGTTTAACTGTATTATGTCAAATGTAGATTCTGGTGCTGCCATTCAATTAACCCTTTTACTTATAACCCCTTCATCCCGGTCAAATGAAAATCGCCATGATAGCAACCGAAAATACAACTTTCAATGGGAAAAGACATTTGTGTGGCTCACTAAATGAACTGATGGCTCTACATCAGCATATTGCAAACCCATTATTGTGCTAAGGACATCGAATCATGGGGCTTTTGTACTCGGTAAAATTGTTGGCTTTTTCTGGCTTTTTTTCGTCTTGATTTGGCTTTTTTCATCACTGGGATCTGGCAACCCTGGACTACAACTACGAACGAACTTAAGTTATAGAATGTTAAGGGTGTCGGTTTTATTCCTTATTTAGTCGTTTGAAAGATATAGATGCTTTATTAGAGCCAAGTGTATTTTTGCGATTTTCTGTAACCAAATGACACTAGTTAGACGTTTTATGCTCCTACGCTTCTATGCTTCATAGCCGTATGCGCCCTGTTTACAAATTGATAGAATTTCCGTCACGAACATATGCTCAGTGTGTCAAAAAGATTTTCTCATGAATGATCCACCAACTTTTGGTCGATACTACTGCGTCATATGACGACTTTCTCGGTATATTTGTTGCTGACGTAAGAAAAAGTAAAATTACAAACTTTTAGCGATATCGCTAGGGTCTGCAGCCTCGTCATTGACTATTTTAAACTATTCAAAGCACTCACCGAGTACTCAATTGTCACCACGCACTCGAGCGTGAAATGACATGTTGTATCTACAAATTTTCAAATTATTGCCAGACAGGGGCTATGATACTCGTTTCAAAAACGACTCGTTCATATACCAACTTTTTATTTTTGTCAATTTACCAGGTAATAAGTGACGGAGTTGCAGGCCGCTAATGTATAACGTTCGGTCTCGGTTTAGCAGTAAAAGCCGCGCAATGTAATCAAAGCCAAATAATACAAATTTAGTTTTATGTCGTGTTAAGACATAGCTCCACTAGCAATAAGTGGGGAGGGGGTGGGGGGGTCGTGCTGGCCACTGATATATTTTTATAGCGTCCAGGATCTCCCGTACAGTATAATTGTAACGGGAGGCAATATATGATTTCAGAAATATAATTAGGTTAACGCCGCAACTTTGCTGAGAAGCGTTGATATATCACATCCTGTATTAGTGATAAAGAAAAAAAAAAGAAATTTGTTATAGTCTTTCTACGACAAGCACCAACCCCTATCTTACATGGTTATTCTACCACACGCCTTAAAACGCTATTTAATAGTTTAAGATTTCTGGCCAATTCCAATGCGCATAGGTTTCGTTTATTCTGGAACAAATTGACAACATCGTTCAAACCATCGCACTATCTAAAATTATAATATATCGGCGTGAGATACCTAAGACATCGAAACGATGACGTATTTTTTGATTAGGAAATTGTTTTTCATACCCAAGTTGCGCAATGTATTTAATAAATAGGGGCACTTTAGATCCCAAACACGTGCTCACCATTTTAACAAAATTCAATACAAAAGTAGCCATTCAAGCTTTGGCTAATTCCCATTTCCCACGACTCCCTTGCGTCAGTGAGAATAGTATTTGGCATGCTTTATCAATGTATCTTATCTGTGTTTGTTATTATTATTTTTACCTGGTAATAATTTCATTAGCTTACTCTGGTTTGAAATGTACGGCATTTTCAAATTTACGGTCAACGGAATAATTCAACCGTGCATTTTAAAGAATTACAATGCAGTAAACGTTCGTCAAATCGTGCACAGTTAATATATGTATTTTAGCGCAGTCGTCTCTAACTTTTTCGGTGCCATGGTTCTTTTCTTAATTTGATAAAAGTTGTAGTCAAATAAAATCAGTTATTATGCGCAAGACGTCTCTACAAGTATATAGATTGAATATGTGAATATTTGGGCAGGTAAAGATCAGCCAATTTCATCCTCAAGAATGTCAATGATTTCGAAATGTGAAAAACATCATACGATGTTTTGGGAGTCCTACGATGAATAAAAATGTAAGTATGAAAATGTTTTACTAATTTTATACTAAGTAATAATAACATTATCTAACCAGGCCACGCGAGTAGTTTGTTTTCGTTGCCTTTTTTACCTGGTTTTAAGTTTCACAAAAGTAGTTGGTATCGCGTTTCTGACTAGGCGCTCTATGGGAATGAGGAATATTCATTTGACTAACACAAACAGTCCCCGAACTCGTAATAGAACTAAAATACGGAAAATTGGACTAAAATTATGGCCTAACCGAATCTGGTACACACACTATGGCCATACATAGAAACACATATACTTATGGAAGAACAAACTTGCGTGTTTTCACTCATTCAGTGACGTTTCATCGCATAGAATACTGACCTCAAAAATGTAATCGTTCGTATACTGAGCAAATATTCAATGTTCATCGCTCACCTATCTTTCTAAAGATTATTATGCAGCATCGAGTCGATATCAAGTTAATAATTACCAGATATTTGTATTAATACGCCTATCCTACATTTCGATTAGGACGCGCATGTCCTGGATAGGATACGCAGATAGATAGAAGTTTTTCTTGCGTTACAGAGGCGAGTTTACTATACAATGACTCGATATTATAAGACCGAGCGTGTAGAGCATTTTGGACGGGTTTTTTCGACCAGGGGGGGAAAGTTTCTTTCCAACTAGACTGGCGTGGCAGACCATGTAAGTGTGCAATCTCAACAAATTCATTCAGTTATTTTTCAGCCAAAACATCAAAACTTGGTTTTAGTGTTGTTGTGGCAGCATCAGGCGGGTGAGATTGAATTATCCCTCCACGAGTCGGATTTGGCCCGCGGGCCATGGTTTGCCCATGCCAGATGTAGATCGTAGCTCCCAACCCCACAGACTGTAATGAGCGAATTTCTTTCTCTGCCTGTGTTGAAACTCATCCTGCGTACCTCGGTATGTATAAAAACTTCGTTTCCATTTGTGGTTCAATAATTAATGCATCATAATCTAGTGATACGCACTCTGGATTTTGTACAGTTTGAAAAGCTTATAAGCGTGGGAAAAATGTATTTCAATAATACTGAATAACAATCTTAGTATTACTAACGAATACAAAGTAATATGTATGTCTTTCCGAAAACAACAAAATTCCTTACTGGACAGATACAATTTATCGGTTGGGAAACGCTGACTTAGAGTATCTTTTATTCTGTGATAATATTACCTATATGAGTAGCTGAGCTAGTTTGATTTCAATGTAACTCAGAATTGGAGACTTTCAAACCACATATAGACATTTCAAAAATTCCTACAAATTTTGAAGTTTATTTTCACAAAAGTATAATATTGAATTAGGGGGTGATTAGAGTAAAATAATGGAATATCGCCGAGATAAGAGACCACGGTCATTTTAAACCTACTCCAAAAGCATAAAATGGTATAAACAAACAATTTTTAACATTTGGTCTTATTAAGAATTTTGTTACGGTATAAAATCACAATTATGTATTTTGACCAGTATATGCCTTGTTCACCGGGTAGCTTAGCAAAGTTCATGCTGTTTAGGTCATTTTTATATTTGATATTTAATTGAGTCACGGGATAAGTTTGATATGACTAAAGTCTGTTAATAAATACAACCATAAATATTGGTACCACAATTTACAAAAAAATATATGAAATGTAAAATACTTTCTGTGGCTAAAATTCAAATTCTGAAATACTTTTTCGATTTGTATCTTCGTGATTGATTCGAAACCTAGCGCTACGTCGCTGCTAATCCGACAGATAATTTTATGGACGGGAAAATCGATTACCTGTATTGGACTTTCGTCAGATTATTCTCTACCTTCGTAATTATGTCGTAAAAGTTATAATATCCCCAATCAAAGGCGGACTGACAGAGAATATTTCCGTTGTGGCCACGATTATTGACTGTTCTTCTTGTTCGATAGTGTATATTTTGGGCGTGGAAGTTCGCTTAAAGAGCGATCGTAAATAGTTTTGTGGATGTGGTTCTACATTTGCCAGCACTTTTGCTGCTTGTTATCTCTTTCATGTAGATGTAAACCAGGTGGAATATTGATATAGTTCAGCATGTTTGTATATAGTATAGCGAGAATGGAGGCTTTTCTCGTTCGGAGATTTTTTGACTTTCGCTCTAAAAACGGCTCCAGAGAAGTAGTCGTCGATAAGAAGAAGGTACTGTTCTTAGAATAACAGGAATTTTTACGTATCAAATCGATTACTTATTGTACATTTTCAGACAGTTCCGGTTTCTGTTTTTTCAGGTATAAAGTCCAGTTGTAAGGTCATGGTATATGCATTTTCCTACAAAATTAATAATTCGATGGTAAAACCAAAAGTTGTGAGTTGAGTGACACTTTAAGTAAATGTCAGTATCGTAAATGTGTTTCATATTATTTGACATCGACAAAAACCGTTAATATTTTACAACTTCAAAGTGAATAGTATTTTTTGGTAAAGACTTAAAGCAGTGGTCAGGATTTGCAACCGTGAGGAATACTATAATGTACGTTTTAATTTATGAAACTTGAATTATGCACAGCATCCACATTAACAGCTTGATTACCATAATATCACATAATACTAATTTTTGGTACTCCTGTAGCATGCGGACACCGGACGGCGGACACCGGAACGTAGTATGTGTACCAGGTTAGGGTTAGGCCATAATTTTATTCCAATTTTCTATATTTTAGGTATATTACGAGTTCGGGGACTAGCCAAGTGACTCCCGTAGTATTTGTACCTGAAATTATGGACTAATCCTAACCTGGCACACATACTACGTTCCCCTGTCCACCATCTTGGTTCGTATATATACTACAGGAGTTCCAATTTTTGTATACAGCACAACTGGATAATTTGAACGTTTACCATATTTAAATAGAAAAATGCTTCCAAGTGGTCGAGTACGACAGCCAGTCAACTACTTTTAAATCTGGAGTCTTTGATAAGCCTGACTTCAAGGGTACTTCACTTCCCCAATCGCAACCATTAAGCCAATGTTTATAAGACGAACACGATGAGTATTGCCAGTTCTCGACGTAATGACAGTGCTGTTCAAAAAACATTCATGAATGAATTTGCAATTTTGAATACCTCTGACACATAATATTCTTTTGAAAAATGTTGTAATTTTTATATAATTAGGACCAGAAAACAAACCTTTGTTCAGAATTTAATATGGTGAATGGGATATGTTGTCCTATGTTTACAAGACGATAGCAGTTATTGCCAGAACTTTGCGCAATGACTGTGTTGTTCAATAAACGTTTATAAATAGGTTGAAATGAATGATCACTCGACTGCTCAGAATTTTTTTTCGAGAGTAAAATTCCTACTGATATACACGGTATATTTATATAAAAGCTTAATTACCAGAATTCTGCTTTCATATAAAGTCGTATGTTCACAAACTTGTTATCTAAGAGGATGCCTATTAGAAATACTTCTCCGTTATATTGGCATACACCTTTGTTAAAGGTCGGCTGTAGTGTAGAATAAGATATGGCACAAGAAGATGCATCGCTACGGTGCCAGATGTTGCCAAAATTCAGTGTTTAAAAATTCTTTATGAAATTCATTCATGAAATTCAGTGTTTAAAAATTCTTTATGAAATTCATTTTTTTCAAGTCGTTATTATTTTAGAAGCAGGATATCTTTTATTACCTCGGCCTTGCTAGTACGACAATTGTTATTGAATAAATTAAAAAAATAAAATAAAAATGTGCTTCATTATATATATATGAAGGGACAAAGCACCCACCTATTGATAAGTAATCCCCGCTGTTTTATTCCCGTTAAACATTTGTATACCGTGGACTAGGATTCACGAATGTAGAAGCTCACTCAAGTATATAAATATAAATTTTTTTGTAAACCTTAGTATTTTCCGAATGAAATTTGTTTCTATTATTTCTATGATTTTTGTCGTCAATAAAAATTAAACAGAGCCGCTAGATTCGTACTGACAATCAAATATTTTCCGTTTTTAAAGAAATTTTTAAATATTTTAGTCGATATGTTAAATTTAACTTGAGCAATGGGAGCAGATATCAGCAAAGAAGATGCGGATGATTTTAAGCAAAAATATCGAGAAAAATATGGCGTGGATATATCGGACGCAGACTTATTAGAGGAATATCGCATGGCTAAACTAAAAGCTGACAGGAGACAGCGAGAGCAATCTCTGGGAAATGAAGACAGAAGACGAGATGAATATTCTGTGAGAAGTACGGACCTCAAACAAGCCAAAGAGGATTCTTACGCACGTAAAAAGCAAGATGACAATTTACGGATAATGAAAACTACTTATGAAAGTAGAAAAGGCGAAAATAGACACATACATGATCGTTCCCAACGATCGTCAAGACATCGAGATGAAAGGCGAAGGGATCGTGACCGACGCTCATCGAGGTAAGACATATATTTTTTTTAAAGGTGCGGTTAGTTCACGAAAATTATGACGTATGATGAGTCTTGCGCGTATTCGGCTAAAAAGGCCCAGGCTAAAATCTTACCGAGTTTGACCTCAAATCAGCCTCGGCGTGTTTTGCTACCAACATTAAGGTTGATTCGTTCTATCAACAGAGCATTTCTATCGTTTTCCTGCCATCCAATATAAATAGAAATCCTATCATCCTATCCTTTATATAAAAAAATTATAAGCCTACGTACGATCGATATCCAGCTTCGTGTATATTACGCCGGCTATTCGACCTAGATCTTTATTTCGCTGGTATCTGGCTTAGCAAGAGCATGGCTAGTTCTGGTACCTCGAATTTCTTATATATATATACTATGATCTAATTCTAAATTCTGAAATGTTCACAGTGCTATTAGCCGTAGGAACAAGCCATCTTACCAGCTTCTATTCTCCCCACTCATTATTTTCCTAAATAAATGTGTCGATTACCTCTATACTCAAAATATATGCTTGTATATTTTCGCAGCATTTCGAACTTAATTTCATCGACAATGTAGCTCACGTGTTAAAATACATTCACGTACGTCGTCGTACATTTTAACCAAAACATCTCGAACTCAGGCACCAGTGGAGTATCCCGGACATACATGAAAAATACATAAAACGGCTTTGGAATAGTTATTATTTTTCATTAGGGTTATACGGTTATCCAATATAGTAATCGTCTTATATCCCGTACCCGCGATCTTTTAATACCTTTACGAGCGATCGATGTGGGTTTTCAGTTAATTTAATCCAAACGGGAGAGTATTACGTTGGAGTATTTCGCCCAGGTGTCACGTGAAAAATGAGCTTTCAGCTTATGAGTCTGAAATTGATACAAAGTATGAAAGGTTTCAAGCGGAGGAAGGTGATTAGATATATTTATTTTGAGGGACAGGAAAGGGTAAATTTATCGACTATATCAGAGTTTACGATATATTAAAATAAAGGGTGTTATTTTGTAACCATTAACTGACTTTCTTGCCGTGTAATTGACCATAATTGACAGCCCACGTCGATCGAGAAATGAATTTTTTTTATCGACCGGACTGTATCGTTTCGAATTTGATTGGACTGTTGTTATGGCAACCAGACAAACGACGTAAAATGTAAATACGCTTGGTAAAAATATAACGTTGTCATGGTATTTCTACCTAACCATTTTTATCATACGCACAAAAATTGACAATGTAAATTCACTACAGTACTTGGTTCAAAAAATGAACTGAATTACCGGTGATTATTCATTGTTTAACGGTTGACTGAATTTCTATACCACATGATTTTAAAATTTGTCGACATCTTAGAAGTATGAGAACTGAAACACAACAAATACCTATATTTGTCATAATTATGGGGTTTATACTAGTAACATACTAAGCTGAATGAATATTGTAACGACTTCCGTTCTTGCGTGGATCATGGATAGTTTATCTATTCAAATTGAAGGATTGCCCAATGTTCCAGAACCGATTTTGTATTATATGATTTTGGTTCCAAATATTGAGGGCATTCCTGTGGCTAGCAAAATTACGAAATGTGGGGTTGGTATATCAGTATATACAGACATTATACTGTTATATGCAGATATAGTTGATGGTGGCATAGAGAAATATGGATAAAATAAATAGAGCTGTATGTCTAAGAGTATAGGGTATAGAGTTATAGCTGTATAATAGGTTATGAAAATAAATTCATTCACTGTGAATTACTACAGTACTAAATTTATCCCATGTGATGGGAAAGATGATGAAATGGTCAACTTTTGTTAATGTCTGACTGGTAGTTGCCGGTTTAGCTCAATTTTGGTCCTTCAATTTGGACAGTAGGATGTAGTAAATCCTGGAAAATGTCAGCCTGTATGACATTTCACAGTTCTGCAGTTGTAGATAGTCTACACAGAAGTGGTCAGGTCTGTAGGTGATTAATAAAAGAGGCCCTGGCAGTTAATCTGAAAATAATCACACTGGTTCTTAAGTGTGAGCTATGAAACACTGTTTTCAAGTTTTGCAGTGGTAGGATTTACATATTTATCCCGGGACCCGGGGGAGAGGAAAGTGATAAGGCGGCTCAATCATACGGCAAATTACCGGTCGGATTATCAGTCCTGACTCTAGTAATCTGATAAAGAGATTTAATCCTGTCTTGTCAGTTAGCTTGAACATTTGTTAAACGTGTGTTTGTGCGGGTTTCTGGGGTTTAGCCTAGATCTCCCATACGTCATAGGGGGCTGACTATTCAACACTTTACATGTAAGTTACACATTTTCGGCATAGCTGTAAAAATAAATTAGTAACTGACAGGCAAAGGTTAAATTGTATACAAGAAACGTTTTTTAAGTGAAGGTCCTTCTCTAAAAACTCTCAACTCTTGTGACTCTTGCAATTGAACAACTGCTTCTGCTAATATTCATATCCTAAGTTAGGTCAAGTCAAATCTAGAGTGATCTATCCCATCTGCCTTCCCAATAAAATGTTTGAATTTCATATTCTTGTCATAGTCTTGTGCTCTTTTATTTAGGCATCGTGAACATTCTAGGCATTCATCTTCTGATTCATCTACTAAAGAAAATAAAAGAAAATCTCATCACTCGTCTAAATATTCACGATCATCTGAAAAAAGTTATGAAAGATCTTCCAAAAAAACAAGATCTGTCGATGATATGAATGTAAACTCACAAAATCGGAGCAGAGACAAGAGACATTCATCTAAATACAGGTTAATATTCCCCTTATCATTTTTGGCCCAAAGCCTTCTAGGGCCAGGCTATCTCTGACGCTCATCTGCCAGATTTGTCGCAATGTGAGATTTTATTAATAATCATAAGTCTACATGGCAGAACCCAACTGTATCTTGACTCCATGGAATTGTTTTTCATTAGCTATTCATGTGAAATAGCACAATAAAATGCAGAAATATAGAAAATAGATATTAGTCCTTAACACAGAATGAGCAAATGGGTAATTTGTTGGACCATACTTTGCAATAGCTTTTTGCATGAAATGTTAGCAGAAAATTGTTAAATACATATCAAACAGTTTGTTCAATCTTGCTCTCAAATTGTCCTCGGATTTTCAACATTATGTGGGAAGATTGAAAATATATCTCCTTGTTACCAAAAAACAAAAAACTAAACTCTTTAATCTGATTTTGAGCGGGGATGGGTGCAAGTCCCTAAATCCTGAGTCACGAGTCTGGGGTGGAGTCTAAAGCAAGGTTTTCCAAACTGGGGTCTGCAGACCCCAGGGAGACTGTGATGAATGCACAGGGGATGTGAAAAGAGTCTAAAACATATACAAATAAATTATAATCTTATCAAATTTCCGTTAGCCTGCCAGTATTTAACATTAGTATTTATTGGTTCAGGCTTTCATGAGTTTTATTTCGTCAAAGGGAACATTATTCTTCCTTGTTGGTTAGGAACAGAAGGGGGTCCGTTAGAAATAAGATTCACAAACAGGGGTCCACGACCCAAAAAGTTTGGGAAACTCTGGTCTAAAATCAAGTCAATCACTGTGTTGAGTCTCACTGGTGGTTAGTTGAGTCTGCGTCATTTCCTTAGGGAGAATGACTCTTTGATATAGTCGATTCAATGCCTCAAACTCTTTTAACAATTGTTTTAAGTGTTACATTCGTGTCTGAATTATATGAATAGTTTTATTTTTTAAAGCAAATATATTTTAGGGATCGTTCAAGAAATTCTCGTTCTGAGTCTTCTGATGTAGAAATACAAAGGAAATCAACCAGAAAACCTCCTACAGAAAATCCGAAAAAGAAGTCTTCTCGTAAATCTGGCTCTGGAGATAAACATCAAAGATCGCAGAAGTAAGCTTTTCAGTCAGAGTTATCTTAATAGTATAAGCTGACAATACCAAATGCCACTTCACGCTTGCTATGATAATAAAGATCAGGCCATAATTTTATTCTGATTTCCCTTATTTTAGTTCAATTACTAGTTCGGGGACTGTCTGTGTTAGCCAAGTGAATATACCCCTTGCCCATAGGTTTCAGTCCCTTTACACAACTTGTGTAAAATAGGCAAACAAAATTAGTTACAAAAATTCGAGTTGGGTTGAACTGCTTGTCTGAGGAAGTCTGACTCCAGTCGGACGAAACGTTACAGAAATACATTTGTGTTAGTGTGCAGCTGGACTCTTTAATTGAATAAAATTAGTTACCTCCATAATTTATTGGTACACACACTTCTGGAGCGCTGATCATTTTGTATGGGTCTGCATGTTCGAATGAAGGGTGATATTCCTGAGGGGTGATTCTGTGAAAGACGTTGCTGGACTAATCAAGGTTGCTAATTTGATTGTTGTCCTATTGGCCATTTGTTATTAATGTCCTTTGTAAAAATTGTAATATACAATATGAATGGATATAGAAAAAATAACATTAACTTTGCTCAGAGATTTTTTCACTTCGGAAAGTGTTGAATGTTTGTTACCTTGTTTTGAGCAAATCGCTTAAAAAAGTACATTTTCATCAACTTCTGGACTTAGAGAATATAATAATATGTCAGGAGACTGTACAGAGTTGTATTTCACTTTTTTGTTCAAATTTTTTATCTTATAAAATTGAAATGGTGATTGAATGACGTGGCCCTTACATGAAACAGAATTATTTTGATTACTTGTCAATAATTATTTTTTTATTATTCAGAAGCTCAAGAAAAAGTGCAGTAGTGTCTCGAACAGATGATGAAGGGATGCATTCAAAGAAAGGTATCAATTTATTCAAAGCTTTATCAACATTTCACACGGAAACAATTTCGGTTATTGGCTTTATGCATGGGTGTCCAACAGGCGGCCTGCGAAGCCATTTAGTGTGGCCCTTGTCCACTCTCAAAATTTTCCCCATCAAAAATAAAATTCTAATCTGACAGTTTTTTGTTGGATAAGGTGCTCACATGAATACAAATACATAATGTTTTTAGTTTTTACCTATCGATTTTAATCGGTAAGTATGTTGATATCTCACGAAAGCGAGATTGAATCTGCTCCAGATTTTGCATGTGCATTCATCTTATTTCGGACCAGGAGCCTATTGATTTTGGGCGAATTAATTCGTATAATTAGCGAGTTATTGATTAATTAGTGATGGGACACAAAGTGTCACTATGGAGTAAGAGCGCTGTTTTGGGGGATCCCCTAACTTTCGATCGATAAGTCTTTGGTCTCTGATCGATATTCTCGTTTTGCTGTTGTCACTGCTTCAAATCTTTCACCAGTTTGCCTGATTCATGTATTACTTCACGACTTAGCTATTGCTGCATTCTCTTCTCCTGCGTTTTCCGCTGAATTTTTTCTGTGGCCCAGCTTAATGTCAGAAGTTGGGTATACAGCTCACAGACGAAAAACATTGCACACCTCTGGCTTAATGTATGTAGTAAATTTTCATGAATGAATAATTCATTATATGATTAAAAGTAGTCTTATTGGACACGTTTGGTGGACATAACGATCGTTTGGTTGTTCTTGGTGTTCTTGTTGTTCTTTGACACTTTTGGACACCTGGTGGAAATATTAAAAAAACGCTTTTTTCTTTGATTACTGGACCAATTGCTTGGAAATCTTTAGTGGTTAAAGATGAAATTTTTCTTCAGAAGGCTATTACTTTCATTTATTTCAAATATTTCTGTTAGCTCGGTGAGATTTGTTTTTGTTTGCTATGACGTCACTGAACGTTCTGCGGACATCGGACGCCATTTTGTGTCCGACCGTACTGCTTCGCTTGGTATGAATATATTTGTAGACTGTGATCTGACGGTACGGTAAACCGTACTGTACTGCGAACAGACGTGTTCATATATTTGGGCGTAGCTCTCTTGTTATCTTTCATCTACCTTTAGTAAATATGAAAACCCGATTCCAAAATGTGATTTTGGATATTGTATTACCATATTGTCAAAATTTTACAGATGACAAGAAATATGATGCAGAGCAGTCTGAAGTTAAAATGGGAAAAAAAAGAAAGGTTTGTAGATATCTTAATAAAGGAGTTAACTTTTTATTTACTTCCTATTGACAAGCCTATCTTGATTATCAACATAAGACTAGAGCTATGGTTCTCAAACTTTTTAAACCGCGCTTCTTTTTAGAATTTGTCAAGTCCCTTTTCCCACCTCAAAAATAACTAGCAAACAATGAACTAAATATAGCAGATAGCAAGACGAAAGGATCTTTTAATAAAAAAACATATGTGACATATGAAAAACATATGAAAATATGTGACTGGAACGTAATCAACCAAAATACAAATATCCAATAGTCAAAAACAGACTAATATGTTTAATTAGCTTCACTCCCCCTCAAACAGTTGTCTACACTTCCTTGTTGGGATGCCCGCCACTGTTTGAGAACCACTGTACTAGTGGAATTATGGCATCAAAAATCACCCACGTTATTACTTGTCTGATTGCATGGTATACATTTTCATGGTCTCGGATCAGAAACCTTGATAATTGGTTGTTTTACCACTTTCCTTACATTTTGAATTTTGGACTTTTCTTCCTTTCCATATTCTATATTTGTATGCATATATTTCTTTACATTAAGGCTTACATTTTTTCTAACAAAATTTCAGAAGAAAAAGGTGAAGTCTCATCACCAAAGTGCACCAGACCTGCTGGACGTCGACAGGCAATATGGTCGGGGGCCGTGGCAGCGTACACATGGATATTTTGATCAATATGGTCAAAGACCTCAATCATGGGTACAAGAAATATCTCAGGGGTATGTGCAGAATATACTACCATTTATCATACTTTATATGAACACTAGGCAGTGAGTGACTTTGAAGAATTTTTTTTCAATTGAAATCCCGAGGTGTCCAATACTTGTAATATTGTGACCCTCACTCCTGACTAAGTGTCCTAACTCTGAGATAAGAAAAACTGTTATTTTGGAACCTAACATGGGTTGTAAAAAAGTTGACGCCGATTCGAGCTCCAACTCCCAGAAAATCAAATTTCAATACCTAAAACTTTGTTATATGCAAGTCTCCTTTAATAGTCTGTTAACAATGCCTAATAAACTTAATTCACAACAAAATCTTGGAATAATTCATTAAACCAGTGGTTCTCAACCTTTTTAAGCCGCGCCCCTTTTTTAGAATTTGTCAAGTCTCGCGCCCCACCTCATAAAATAACTAGCTAACAATAAGCTACAAATAACGGATAGTAAGGCGAAAGTATGTTTTGTTCAAAAAACACGTTGAAAATATGTGGATGGAACATAAATAATGAAAAGTTTTGAATTGTAAATATCAGAATAAGGCAGGCAAGATCAATCAAATCTAACATATTTTTATTTTTAATTAGCTTCATGTCCCCTCAAAAGACTTTGCCCCCACTTGTGGGGCGTGCCCCACCGTTTAAAAACCACTGCATTAAACAATCATTTTTTCCAGTATTCACAAAGTTTTCCCAAATTTGTTGCACTTCTAATTAATATAATATTGCTCAGTATTCATGAGCTCTATGCACAACTCTTTTCAGACAAAGTTCTACCCTGCCTGCTCCTGTAATGGAACGACAAATAATATATGGAATGCCTGCTACTTTACCAAGAGCTGTGGATGGACTCGGTTATCCATTGAAAGAACGGAGTCCAGGCTTCCAACCAGGTAACTATGGTTGCTTTTAAAAGCCATGCAGAATGAAATATGTCAAGTATTTTCACTTGAATTTTTATTTTATTGTTCGAAAGTTTTATGGCACACAATTTTTTATGCCGGGGTTCATGTTTTTTCTCCAAACAATGTGTTAGACAAGTGGTCTTCCTTCATCCTGAAATACCATGTACCAACTACTGATTACAGATTAGAGTCGCTTTTATGCTTATAGTATGCTTCGGTAAACTAAAATAATCTTGATTCTACTTTCTCTGACCAATTTATTTACCCTTGGATGAAATCATGTATTCTGGCTTACAACATGACGTTCTGTTTAAACCAAAACTAATAAATTCTTGCAAACAAAGTATTTGTAGTCAATAACTTCTTACTATTGAACCAGGATTTAAAATTGAAGTGGGAACAGAACAGTTTTTAAATGGCTGAGAATATGATCAATTTTTAACCATGGTTACTGATTAATATTTGTAAGGTATCTTCGATTTCCTTTCAAAATTATATTGAATCTATTTCAGTGCCTTATCAAACCTACTTGATGCACAAGCCACAGAGACCACAAAGCATGGATTTGTAAGTAGAAATATATATCTATACAACCACACCGTTTAGTTAATATCAATAATTAGTTAATATCATTTTGTCTTTCCAAACTAAATTATACAATTTAGTTATTTATTTGTTATTATCATTCACAAAAAATTTATACAACGTAAACAATTTGGTTATAAGAACTCGACTATTCTTATACAGAGTATTCGCACTGAAATTAAATCCAGGTCAGATTTATAAAACAACTAATCTATTTGAATATGACATTCCTGCTATAATCCTTATTTCTCTCATTTATCCACAGATCATACACTCATCATGATTTTTCTTCATTGCCTCCGTCTACTGCCGTCCAATCACCCAACACCTCGATTAAATTACCTGCTGGAGCTGTACCTGCAGTTGGCCCGCGAGGGCCATTGACTTCCCCCATTGTGTACGTTTTGTTTTAGCATTTGTTACAATAAGCATTGTTATCATGCCTCTATATATTGTATGTATGTAGGTTTATTTGCCTCAAAAATGTAACAGTATCTGCATAATAGTTAAACGATAAAAGAGACGGGATACATGTTCAAGACCTTACTGGCCTAACACACAGATGTGCGACATGCACCCCAACAAGTATAACTACAGTGCAAGACTGCTTCGTTATAGTAGGACAACAGACATGAAATATACAAATAAAACTCTTGTACAATACACAGGACAAAGAGGTACGGCACCACGATGATATGTACAATAGGCAGTTTATGGCACATTCATGTTGTGAAGGGATGAGAATAGGGTATAAATCGCATTTTTGTGTGTTTTACAGTAGATTGTACGAAACAAGAATTATAACAAGTATATATTTGTATATTGTCCATGTATGATGGCTATGAACAATGCTCTGTACAGCCACTGTAATGTAAGAAGCTATTGCACCCTGGATCATATTTGAATCAAATCTGATATTTTACCCTGCAATGCCAACATAGATAGGCCCATTAGCACTCGAATGGGGATTATGTTCTGGGCTTTTAGCCAGTTAATACAGAAGTTCCCAAACTTCACTTCCATGTTGCATTTATTTTCTGTAATACAAATCATGACAGGACATATTGGAGAAAAAATTTACTTTATAAATATCAAATTGTGGCAAGGAAAAGTGTTCTATTATGCACATTTAATTATTGCAATACATGTTGTGTTTTTGTGCACACAAAATTATCATAAGCACGACTGAACGTAAGTTATAGCGAATTGTACTTCTCTTACAACATTAATATAATGGGATAGGATTTACCGTACATACTCATCCCGGGGAAAAAGAAAGCCGATAAGACTGCTTAACCATTCTGGTCACCATTCCTTGTCGGGTATGAGATTACGGTAGTTATTTATTTATTTTTGGAAGCGTGGACTTGATGGTGGAAAAAGCCATAACTACCCAGCGGTTACGTAAACCACCAAACGAGGGCGAGGAGTCCAGCAATCCTTGTAACTATCCCTACATAGGACCTGCGAACCCACGCATAGTAATCATAGGTGCGGTGGCGAGCGTATTCCCAATGCTTAGCACGATGAGCCACACTGCTGTGCCATTAATGCATTTTATGTCAAATCCCTATAAATAGTATAAGTATATAGCAAATGAATTGGTATTTCTCGAAGTAATCAAATTCCCCACTAGTGCGACACATTGCATTGAAACACACAACACACACTGGATCAATAAAATAATAGACTACAGAAGTAGCGAAAGAATTTTTGTACATGAAATTGATTAAAATAACAAATCTTCATTTTCAGGAATTCACCTCCAATTATCCCAGCACGCGGTTATGAAGTTCAAGCCCATTTACCATCAAATGGTTCTTCAACTTTACCAGCGAAGTTTAGACAAAGCTCTAGTGGTGGGACGTCCAATCCACCTACATACAAAACACCTCCGCAGTATGGGAACTCAGTTTCAGTGAGAAGTGATGGACCAACTCCGAAACCTAGAACTAAGGTAAAGTGTTTGAATTTTTTCTGGACAGCATGAAGGCCTATTGGGTAAAGCTTTAGATATAACTGCGTTGAAATCACAGATACTCATTTGAGTCATTTCTGATCCAAATTCCATGCCTTTCTGTAGGTCATTCTAAACCAGAATGATTCCGGTATTTTTGAATAATAGTAGTTCCTTACATATTGTTAAACATCTGTGGCACAAATAAGCGTCGTTTGTTAAAAAATAAGCCAGAAGAAGCTGTGTTTGCATGAAAGATTATCAGGAATTTCATTTTCGTTCTTGTGAAAAGTAACATCATAACACTTAAATTTAAAACTCTTCTATTCTGATTTTCATTCCAAATAAAAGATCTCATATCAACTATAACATCAATTTTACTTCAAGACACCAGTCAAGGAACACAAAAGATCATCAAAAGAGAAAGGAAGCAGAAAATCCAAGTCTACAAAACATGGTGTGGAAACTAAGCAACATAAACCAAAAATCACAGCAATTTCAGCAAGAGAAGATTTTGAAAGTTTGCTCGCCGCTGATTACGACATGACACATATGAAAAGTTCCGAAGACTTCAATGAAGAATTCCCACCGGTCTTTCCCGGGAATTACAGAGCAAATGATACTATTTTCGTTGATGACGTGATTTTCAGGTATCGCTCTCTACTTTTGTTCGATTTTTTAGTGAGTGCAATGCCGTAATGATTAGGTATTATAAGATCTAACTATGTCTCTGTGACGGTAATTATTCTGCGTTTAAATCACAGTCCTTCCAGAAACAGTAGCTTACAATATATCAGTGGTGTGCTTGTACAGTGGGGAAGTTTGTCAAAAAATAATAAAGTGCATCGAGAATTTGACAAATTTCATTAATCCTATCGGATCAAATGTAATTCTAATCGAAAGTAACTCTCCCAACAGAGGTTGACTATTTCCTAATCCTTCCGGAAGGCTTTTGCGCTAGTATATCCGTATGTATATAATGCAAGGATGCTGTAGCAGGAATAAAAATATCATACTATGCAATTCAAGAGTCCTGCTGCACAAGAACACAAGTGCATTTTTGTAACGTTTAGTCTGTTACGTTATAAAAATACATTTGTGTTGATGTACAGCGGGGCTCTTGAATTGCATAGCTCAATATAAATGTTTTGATTATATATTCCTGATTGTTATTGACAATCAATTTTGTTCTTCTGTGTATGGGTTTTTATCTGTTTTGTTTTTGTCTATTTCTACAGAGAGCAGCCAAGAATTAAAAGTTATTCTGACACTGATTCTTCCGACATGATGACGGATGAAGAAATTAATGAAATTAAAATTGGTGAAGAATTTTCACCTAATTCTATCGGTATGAATAAAATTCATTTATCAACATATATAAGAGTATATTTTTTTATGCGAAAATGCCATGTTTTATGATGAAATCAAGTTGTCTATAACTTAGTGGAGAGACATTTTTTCTTTATGATCAGCTATATCATTAAAGCCATTTTTTTCTCCGGGGAGAAAAGTCTATAAGACTGCTTAATCATATGGCAAACCACGATCTCTCGTCCAGTCAAACCCTATTATTATAACCGTTCTTTGGATATATGTTGTATATTCTAGTACATTGGTTCTTAGCGTTTTTGATATATTTGTCGACATTGCTTAATTTTGAATGATGACACTCCGGCTTGGTTTGAACTGTTTTTATTGTTCACATCATTTTTAGTTACAATAATACCAAAAAAGGGAAAAATATTTCAAATACTCGAACATATGAAAATTGAGGTTTCCTCCACCAGCACAATGAAAAATTTCCGGTACTCCCATAGGCAATAATTTTATTCCGATTTTTCTCATATTAGTTCTATTGCCAGTTTGGGGACTGTCTGTGTTAGGGTTAGGGATACCCTTAGGTGAATACACCCTTGCCCATAGGCTTCAGTCCATTTACACAACTTGATATAAAGTAGGCGAACAAAATTAGTTACCTCCATATTGGTACATAATACTTCTGAATCGCCAAATTTTTACTTGGGGAAGTAGCCCTGACCATTTGAAATACAGTGTTCTAATGTGTAATGTTTATTTTCAGGTTACTCATCTGGCTTTGACTTAGAAATTCCTGAAGGATTTTGTTTTGACTCTGAAGGTGCGGAAACAAGTTCTGTTAAACATAAAAACAAGGGTGGCAAGCAAAGTAAGCATTTTGATAGAATATAATCTATAGTAGTTCAGTAGTTATTGCCCATAAATTTCCTCAGAGATTTTTCACTTCTGAAGGGGTGCCTGTGTCCTTGCTTTGAGAACTTTATTTTGAAAATATTTTTCAACTGCAACCATTTTAGTGGGTGCCTCCAAATTTGCTCAGAAATCAGTCTTTTTTACTTCTGGGCTATAATACATGGATCATGCTTTAGGCAAATTCTTGGAAATAAAATTTAAGTTTTTTCAAACTGCAACCATTTGGTTGTTGCAGAACATGAGAAATCAATGTATGCATTGCCCTCTTCCCGATTTGGTTAGTTTATTATTTTTTGATTAGAGATACACCAATGTTATATCGGGGTGTCCAAAAAATTTCACCCAATTTTGTAGTGATAACAATTGAAAATGTCTTTGTCTTTGTTTGTTAATAGTTCTTATTGCGCTTGTAGTTCTCATTTATCATACAATAAAATTTATTCAAACTTACAATTGTTATTGCTATAAAATCTGGTGAAATTTTTTATTCTTATGGCTGTGGGGTTGGGCGAAATTATTTGGTCACCCTGTAGTTGCCTTTCACCAGTGGAGGCTCGAGTAATTGACTGGAGTCACTATTTGTAAACTTAATGGCTCGAGTCATCTGAATGTATCGACTCTGACTCGTACTCAATTAATCACCAGTTAGACTAATATCAGTGACTTAACTCGCGTCTCGGGGTTTAGTGACTCTTACCCAACACTGCTTTCTACTAAATAATAAATAATATTCTCTCATCTCATTCTTTTTTAGAGTCTGCTGGTGTGAGAGCACAAAAAAAGAAAGTATTTAGCGGTGATAACAAAACAAAGACAAGTAAAAAAACATCAACAACTAAAGACACCCAACCGAAATCACGATTGTCTCCATTAAAACAGAAAGATCAACTTATCTTAACAACAATTGGGCCAGTGTCTCGGACTCGGCAACAATCAACCAGTCCAGATAGAAAACAGAAAAGCAGTCCAAAAATGAAAAGCACTGTTGGAAAAAATAAACCAAGAGTATCCAGTAACGAAGTAGAAAAAGTCATGCAACCTGTCCATTCAGCAATGCAGCAGTCTTCAAAATCCATGACATCCAACAAAACGATAAAGAAGAAAAATAGAAAAATTCAAGCCCCGTCAGAAGACAACTCGTATCAGAGAATTATATACCCATCTCATCATTGGCACACAAGACCAGAATTGGAGCGGAAAAAGAAAATGCATGATATTGGTGTTGGTACAAAAACGTCTGTGAAACAAAAGTCGATCGCTATCCAAACGCCGAAGCCAAAAAGTCCTGCAGCGCAGCCAATTTATTTTTTGAAACCGTTATCTGCTCAGGAAGTCTTCATAGATGATTCGTCTATTGCGAGTCACAGTGAAACCGATATGTCAACAGTCCACACGGCGGCTACGTCATCAGTTACATCTACGGGATCGGTCACTGCAAGGTCAGGGACATCTTGGTCAAGGTCATCGACGTATAGTTCTAACCCTGATCACACCGATCCCAGCGAAGTCGAAAGTGTTGCGTAAGTCTTCAAAAATGTGTTATATTTTGGTTTTGGTGGAATCGTCATTTGGTATGTTTTCACTGAAGTCCTATTATAATCAAGGTAACATCTGTATCTATCTGTAGAGGTTATGCGAGACTAACTCCCAATCCTTCGTTAATTACTTTGCGCTAGCGGATTCCTATGCGTATAATGCAAAGATTCTGTAGCAGGAATATAAATACCATACTATGGAATTCAAGAGTCTTGCTGTGCACTAACACAAATGTATTTCTGTAACGTTTCGTCTGACCAAAATCAGACAGAAGATTCACTCTTTACATTTTACTATTTTACATTCTAACATGAATTCGTTTTCTATTTCAGCCAGAAGTTTGAAAGAAATTCAAAATTTTATGCCAGTAAACCAAACGAGCAACCATCCATCGCATCCTCAGTTGATTTTGAACCTGAACCATCAAGTAGGTTGAGGTTTTAAAAACATTTTATATCGTATTATTTGTGAATCTCCACAGAGCAGCACAGTGAATAACTGACTCAGACGGACTATTTTATAAACATATTAGAGAAAAAATTGCTCATTCAGTCCAAGATCGCTTAGCAATTCAAAGATAGATTGGACGGAAACTAGAATGGAAAATTGGATAAATCATCTTGTATAGTTTTTCATTTTCACTGCAGCTGGTAGTCAGAACTTTTTTAGGCTATATTTTCGTTTGCTAGAATAATGTCGTGACAAAATGATTTGTTGAGAATACCTGTCTGTTTTATTGAATTCAATCTGTGTGAATTTTTTTCCACATGCAACTGTTCTTCCTAAAAGTTATCCACTGCTGCCATCTGGATTGATTGGGGGTTACATAAATTAGTCAGGTGATTAATTTGCTATTTTTTGACTGTTTCAAATCATTATAAGCAATTCAGCTTTCATTGTGACATCTTTGTCTAGAATATTTTGGTCTGTTATTAGTTATTTGGTTCAATACAGTTATTTTCATTTAGATTCCAGCTCCATCGGCCCTCCGTCCATGACACTCGGAGTGAGTGAGTCCATCCAAGCCTCATCGTACACTGGAAAAGGAGGAAAAGTTTTTTATTTCACAAGATCTCGTCACGGTTCTTCACCAGCTACGTCGATTCGAGATTCAAGTCAACCAGTGAGTTCTTTACCACCATCTAGGGGTTGTTAATTTCGACGACAAGGTTTTTATTATGAATACATTGTTTTTAGATCATCTCCCCAAGTGAACCGCAAATCCAACAAGAAGCAAGATTGAAATCTGAATCGCAAGTCTCGGTATGTTTGAACTCATTGTATCAGTATGTGATGTGTCGTTATGGTTTATAAGGTTCTGCAGTTGGCCTTATGTAAAGCATTAACAACACGCTTGCTATCTCACTTCTCTGGTTCCTAGGTTCTAATCCTGTGGGGATATGCGAGAGGAACGACTCCTTGCTGCCGTGTGTCTGTTCATGGGTACTCTCGTTGTGTGTGTTGGGGTTAGACCATAATTTTATTTCGATGTTCCATATTTTAGTTATCTTACGAGTGCGGAGACTGTCTGTGGTAGCCAAGTGAATATACCATACCGCCTGTCCATAGGTTTCAGCCCGTTCACCCAACTTGATGTAAAACAGGCAAACAGAATTAGTTACCTCCATTTGGCTCCATGTTGATACACACACTTTTAGAAACTGGTCAACTGTTTCCATACTCGACACATGTACTGGGAGCCCGTGGTTTGTCAAATGATTAGGCTTGACTTTCCTAATTGGACTTTTCGATGATAAATTTTGATAAGCATATCACGAGTATTTGAACTATATTTGTAGGATAGGATTTTCATATTTGTTTTAAGGGAGAAAATTTTATGAAATATGTTATGATTTTAAGTAAAGTAGTTCTTAAATCATTAATTCATCGTCGAAGCCTTGTATTTTGTGAAAAAATCGATACTTAATTTTTTTTTTTTAATTTTTTACAGGAATCACAGTACTTCAACCCACTTGAAGTTGGGCAATGGGTTCTAAACTACGTTCAAGAGCATAAGCTTGCTGCACAGAAAAAAAATCAACCCAGTACCAAGGAGGAACCCACTGATCAAAGACCCCAAACTGTGCCTCCGCAAATAGAACATGCTCCTTTGAGAAAACAAGAGGCCTTTGATGCAGAAAACAAAAACAGTTACACGTCGCAGAAATCCAGTGTTCACATTGAACAACCACCAGTTCCCACACAGCAACCGAAGATAGTGCCTTTAACAACGGAAGCTTTATCGAAACATGAAGACAACAATACATGGACAGGGCACGATGTGGAAGACTCTGGAACTGAATTGTCGACCAACATCAGCTCCGATTTGGGCCCTTTTCAGAGAGAGCTAATTAAAACAAGACATAAAATACGGAAACACAATCAGAGAGACAAAAGCCCTGAACTTACTCACACTGCAGAAGAATACAAAGCACATCTTAAGCGATGGAACGATTCTCCATCAACGAACGTAGTTTTAGCAGAAGTTTGTGCAGTGACAGATGATGATATTGAGGACGCAAGACCTAAAAGTGATAAACCATTCAGTAAATACTCCAATGAGCCTGTTATACCCACATATGGTAGTCGGAATACCACCGTTGTTGGCAGCCATAACCAAATACATGAATCCGATTCTGACTCCGAAACAACATTGTCTACAAATTCATCTGAAGATCACCAAAATCCACGGGAACGGTTAAGAGAATCTTTGCAAAGGAATCGACCTTCTCAACCTGGTTTAAATCACAATTATAGCAATGTACAGCCTATGCATAGTGAGAAACCAAATCAATCAGGAATAAAACCAAATGAGAGAGATTTACAGAATGCTGGAAATTTGGAAAAAATCGAAAACTTTCTTGACAACTTGGATAAAAATAATGCTTCAAATTTTCAAAATCGGCCGTCCACTGTTTCACCTCCGACCCCTGATGAAGATTGGAGAATAATTGGCGCACCTATGTACCCGCCGACGCAAAAACAGAATTCTGTACATCATAATAATAATACATCTCAAATGGATCCGACCGTTCCTAGGCCTCACATGAGAAAATCGTCAGAAGAAACTATTGACATACCAGAGATGAATATTAAAGACCCGCACCTTCGCTTACGTTCAACGTCGTTGACAAATCAAAGTGAAACTGGATCTTGTTCAAGTCTCATTGCTAATCCTTTTAATAAAATGGACAATGAAGAAATAGAGTCACTAGTTGAAAAAATCCCAAATAGAGGTTCGATGGGAAATATTGATTCAGAAAAAGATGTCATTGCTCAACTCGAAAAAAGTCGTCAATCAACGAAACGAGAATCCCTTGAAGAAAGAACGGCAAGAATTTTGGGAATTCACAGGAAAACATCGACGGATGAGAGCGATGATGGAACGCCGACTAATACTCGTTCTGCTCAGGAAAACAAAAAAGACATCAATGCTTACATGAATAACCTGTTAACAGGTGCCGCTGACGTGTCACCTGCAACTCGTCAAAAATATTTTGCGTCTGGAATGGCCGATAAAACACCCATTTCAGTAAAAAGTCCTCTTGCAGCAAATTCATCTAAAAAGTTTCCATCGCATGAAAACTTGGAAGCAAATAAAAATGGTGAAAACCCGTCTCACTTGGAATCAAAGGTATTTTCAGTTTCGATAGTATTGTTTTCAGGGGATACATACCAGTATACTGGAAGTATTATATTATTTCACCTATTTTGAGATTGAATTAATCTTCAAACGGACAGCGTGAAGACTCAAACTGGTCAAAAAAGTTGCTCTACTCACCTTGGTGGCCGGATTGTCTGTCTACCTTAGCTACACAAATCTTTTTTTCAAATACTACTTTATTTTTATTTAGAGCCTTGACCATTTTTTCATTTGAGTAATATTCAGTGACCTACTCTCTCAAGTGTCAAAAGTTCTATTCACTCTTTGAGTGTCGTTAAATTATTTCAATAAACTTTGATTTACAAAACATATCTAAGTAATGGATATAAAATTTTCCCAAATGGAATTATCGGTACTCTTGTAGTGTGTGTACCAGGTTAGGGTTATGGCGTAATTTTACTCCGATTTTTCCTTATTTTAGTTCTATTACGAGTTGGGGGACCGTCTGTGTTAACCAAGTGAATATACGCCCTGTCATAGGTTTAAGTCCCCTTACACAACTTGATGTAAAGTCGGTGAACAAAATTAGTTACCTCAATATTGCCTCAATAAATTTTCTATTCAGCAATCAGTTGAACACAAAGAATCTTCAGATGACGATGATGACATGACTTTGACTGAATCGTTTTCAATCAACGTCAGTGATTCTGTGATGGAAGCAAGCGTAGATTGTAAAGTTCGACTAGAAAAGAAAGTTCCTTCTTCTCAGCCTACAGAGTATAAAATCCCTGACTACGTCGATGGTCGCTCCAGTGGTAAGAAGGCTTCATTGCTGTAATCTAATAAAATATATGTTGTTTATTCAAATGCGTGTTTCCCTAGCCCTCGACCAGTGGTGAGCTGTATCCTGAACGCACCACATTTGCATTCCTGTTGTTCAGATTAAATTAGGTCATGGAAAGTTTAGTTTCCCCGGTGAACTTGTACGTTTTGTAATGCCACAATTTTTTTTACATCGCAGCAGACAAATAATGTAAATATAATACATTTTCACTTAGTTGCGTTCTGGTTGTTACGATTTTTCCAGCTCATCACTGCCCTTGACCAAAGAAAACTTCTCCCTATGCATTTCAAGTGTTTTTGTGGAATGATGCTTAAAAACTGGTGTACATGCTCGTACCTATCATATTGATCCAACATATCAAACTACCGTCCATATAAAAGTATTGATAGCTTTTCCAGGGCTAATTTTGATATCAGCAGGACAATAGGACGACAAAACGGCCATTGAGTTATTTGATTTATACTGAATTTCTGGAAACATAACTGTAAACTGACAAATATTTAGCAGAACAAGAAAACTAGCTAGTGTCTGAGTGGCTGCTCCATAGAGTATTGTGGAGTGAGACCGAGTTCTATTACGAGTTCGGGGATCGTTTGTGTTAGCTGAGTGAATATACCCCCTGCCCATAGGTTTTATTCCCTATACACTGTAAACTGACAAATATTTAGCAGAGTACAAAAACTAGCTAATGTTACATGTCTGAGAAGTGATTGGCTGCTTTGTCAGGTATTGTGGAATGAGACAGTTTTTTGGGTACTCCCGCAGGGTGTCTACCACTGTACCAGGTTAGGGTTAGGGTATAATTTTATTCCAATATTCCTAATTTTAGTTCTATTACAAGTTCGGGGACTGTCTGTATTAGCCAAGTGAGTATATACCCAATGGCTTCAGTCCCTCTACACAACTTGTTGTAAAGTAGGCGAACAAAATTAGTTTTCCCCATATTGCTACACACATTTCTAGAGCACCGAAAAAAGTATCTGATTGCTTCGTCAGGTGATGTGGAATGAGACTCTTTTTTGATTTTATTGAATGACATTTTTAGGTCCGGTGTCACCAAGCAGAGGCATGATGTCACCCAGCCAAGGCATGATGTTGAGTTATGGTGCCAACATTTACGCAGAAACACCAGGGTTTCACAAGCAAGATAGTTTTGATTCAACAGATAGTGATGAACCAGACTTTATTCCGTCAATGCCTGTTTCATCTGAATATAAACAGGTAAATTGATGATAGTCATGTGTGATGCTTGTTTCCCGCTTTTTTATGGGTTATTTTTGGAAATTCAATCCAAATCCAAATTTGGAACAATGGTTCTCAAACTTTTCAAGCCGCACCCCCCTTTTTAAAATAAAAATAACTAGCTAACAATATGCTACTAATAACAGAGAGTAGGCGAAAGTATGTTTCATTCAAAAGAATGTTAAAAATATGTAGATAGAACGTAAATAATGAAATGTATGAATTTGTTGTTATTTATAATTTAATGCAGTTGTTTTTGGCTGACAAAATAAGTTATGTGAATATCCCAAATAGGGTGGCAAGATCAAATCTAACAAATATTTTTATTTTTAATTAGCTTCACACCATCCCACAAAATTGTCTACGCCCTCCCCTTGGGAACCACTAGTTTAGAAGAATGAAATATTTATAGTGCTTTAAACCAGGGCTACTAATCTGGCGGTCCGCGATCCGAATTCGCCCCTTTCGAGTATTTAATTCGGACTGCACCAAATTTTTTAGTTTGGATCATTAGCCCCACTTTTAAAGTTTCATTTTATAAAATGACTTCTATTGTTGTGAATATATATATAAAGAACTATAACACCATAATGAACAATATTGATTAGCTGATAAGCATTAACTGGTCGAGGAAGTGTGCGTTTACGGATGCCTAAATATAATTTCTGGAGACACCGGACACAAATAGTTTTGAAGATTTGTATGCGAATCTTCAGTGAAAATAGTTGAGTAGCTCTGCTCTAAACCATGCCCTGGATATGCAACCACTAATATCTAACAATATGTAAATGGCTAGTATTTTTTGAAGAGCGGGAATTTCTCCGGTTTATCATTACCTGCCCAATTTATGGTACTCCTGTAGTATATGCACCATGGATTAGGGTTAGGCCATAATTTCATTCCGATTTTTCTTAAGCTTTCCAGTTGAACTGAAAATATTTTAGTTTCTTTACAAGTTCGGGGACTGTCTCTTTTAGCCAAGTGATAGGCTTTTGTCCCTTTACACAACTTGATGTAAAGTAGACGAACAAAATTAGTTACCCCCATAATGGTACATAGACTTCTAGAGCGCCTAATTTGATCGATCAATTCAGTTAATTAATGCAGGTGCAAGATGACCTAGTGTTAAGCAACCAATACTATGTGACGAGCTATTACTTTTAGAATCATCATCGTGCCCACAATGTATCAATGTTCCATTCAAACCAGATATTTAATTTGTTTCGATTCGTATGTCTGTACCTTCGTTGAGATTTAAAAGAATAAAATTCTTCTTCTAGAATTTTGCCAGAAGTGAAAGTACTGACCATAGAATGCAAGATTCTCCAGTTCCGATCTCGGTCAACAGTCCACCTCTTACAGAGAAAGAAATGGACATTGTGAGAGAACTGGTGTCATCTAAGACTAATTCTGTTGTTGGCAGTGCCGGTGGTAACAAACATTATATTTTGTCAATGCTTAATTATAAATGATGTATCAATTTCCTGTGATGATTGTCATTGCCGTAAAATCATGTTATTGCGTCGTTAAATTGAATAATTAATATTATAAAAATTATGAGTTATATTTCGGGTGATTCACAAAAATTTAAGAATAAGATAATTTAACTGTTATATTATGTCAAATCTCAAGTACAAATTGGTGTTAAATAGCAGTATTCATATACCTTGATTTTCTAGAATTTTGCGGCCTATTTCAATATCTTGTATTTTTGTTAATTTTCAACTTTGAATTTGGTAAATCCTGATATTGGTAAGGTTTATTAAAAAGATTGAAGTCTTTTAAAAGGGTATGAAGTTCATGAAGAATAGTTGACTTAAGGATATGATTTCAATATTTAACCTGAGGGAGAGGAACGACAAGAAAATCTAAGCCTATGACAGGTCATGACCTCTAGTTGGGTTATTAATCCAAGGCAGGCATGGGAAAAGCTAAATAATCCTTACAAATATGGTCTTTGGGGGTGATCGCGATCAGTAGCTGAAAAGTTTAACAATTATCTTGAAAGTATTCGAACTTGAGAATCCCTCTGAGGTAATCAGCGATGGCAATTCATATTATTGAGTCCTTATTTATACCAGCTTAGTCAAGCAATTATTATTCTACTTTTTCTTGTTACATAATTTACTAAAAACAAAACAGCAAAAAATTCTTTATACTTCAGACATGTCTCCTGTGGCAAATGATGATGCAATACATCAAAGCAGAAGTTTGAGTTTACCGAGCTCACCCAGATCAAATCGATCTTGGAGTCCGAGCAGAGAATTAGCTCGGGACAAAATTGCGAAATCAATCGGGTTTACTTTGCCAAATCAAAAATCAGATCCTCAAGATGGCACAACTGAGTCCTTACATTCCAGCGGCGTCATCAATTCAGAAGAATATGACATCAAAATTTTGTCACGAGATAGAAATAAAAATGACAATATGATGGTTTTAGGTACGTTGAGTGGAGTTGTTCAAAATTCAAACGAAATTAAAGTTTACGTTAATGCTCCTGATTGTGAGGATATTACTGAAGTTGAAATTTCTCACAATATTGTTATAACTCAAAATATCGATACAAAATGGACAATTGTCAGAAAGTTCCTTCAGAATGCTTTATTAAATGATATTTGTATAATTTTTCTCGTAATATTGTATCGCTTGTTAGGTGTGGTGTTTCTAGGCGGTGGCCATGTAATTTAAAAATATGTCATTTAATCTTTATTTTAGTGAGGCATGAAACGTTTGATTGTTTTTTACTTGAGTTTGTTTATTTATAACCTAACACAATTTTTCGCTTTATGGCAATTCCCATAGATACTATGATTTATTGAACAAATCATGTGCTTTTACTGAAGCCATAACTAATGTTTACACAAACAACACTGTGATTGCAAGAAGTCCAGCTTAAATTTTACACATAGTCATTCTCAAAGTAATTTCAACGCACACTAAGGCAGGAGTGTGCAACCTGCGGCCCACAAGTATGAATTGTGCGGCCCTCGAAACGAGTTTTTAATTTAGTTTAATCTAGAATGTGCGAGTATTTTAATTTCTTCCCTTGCAAAGCATATACCTGAGCTTGTGCGAAGCGAACAACTTAGTCATAAGATCGATGAACAAGTCACAAGTCGAGTCAAATGACATTCGACTCGAGTCAATTACTGGCTCGAATCTAACTAGAGATGACTTGAGCCATTTCAAGACTTTAATAAATGGCTTTGACTTGAGACTCCCCAACACTGGCACTAACTATCCACCTATCAAGTCTGTGCATATGTTTTCTTTGTTTATTATTTTATTTGCATGTATACTAACAATATTATTTTTGTTTATTTCATTTAATAGGGAATACACAACATCCTAACAAAGATGTAGCCAATGCATTGCAATCGATTGGACTCAAACCTGAGGAGTCGTGGGTGATGTCAGTCTGATGTGACAACTTGAATAATCACTGGTTATTCACTGCATGGATGAATCGTTTCAGATTCAGATACTTATTTTCATTGTGCAGGAATCAATGCAGGGCTGATCATTTTTTTTATTTTTGTGGGCCATTCAACATTCTATTTATTCAACTTACATATATATATAAATGTATACTCTCATAATTCTGTGGACTATTTAACATTCTATTTATTTATGGAAAAATGTTTGATTTTAATTTTGGAAAATTTGGTCTTTCATTGCTGTTTTTCATCAACTGCCAAGTTTCAACATTGTGAAATAAAATGGAAAATAGGCAGATCTTACTAATTTAGCTCTATTTTTTTGTTTGTAAATGTCTAAAAATTACCGGTATTGTGTTCTTATATTTTGATATATTCTCATAGCTTTTTTTTGATTAATCATAGAGTAGTCAACCAGTAGATAAAAGAATTTTATAACTCAAAACACCTCAAAAAGTCTTCATATTTTGAAATCTGTAAATATATGATTTCTTCAATATTGAGTATGACTTACATATATATAAATGTATACTCACATATATCTGATTATAATCATAGTACACTTAAAAACAATACATTTTCGTTATAAGATTTATTCTTTATTTTGAATCTTCACAATTTTGTATATTTCAAGACTTCAATATGATTTTTACTTTTACTTATGATAAAACTTCAATTATGGTATTATTATTAGCTGGATGTCAGTGTGGTAGAGCTGTGAATGGTGTTGGTACAATTTTTTTTTAAATCGGTGCAAATTTTATGTATTATATGTAATTTGTGTTATGTTTCCGATTGTGTATTTTACATATATTTTATTCTGATTTAGTACAAATTCAAATTACATATAAAAAAGTGTCCATTTGTATGCAGTAATATCTTTCTCAATTTTCTGTAAAAAAATTATACTGCCCCAAAAAGGTAAGATGAATTAATATTTTAGCTAATCAATTCCAATTGCAAGCAAAATTGTTGTAATAACCTCAATTTATACCAACTAGTATACAGTATATAGTTTGATTCTTAAAGCAGGTTAGCAGGTTTTATGATTTAATAACTGGGCTACCCTGTATATAGAATGCTGAAAATATTTGGTTGGACCCCCATTTTTGTCCTTCCTATGTCTGTCTGAAAAAAGTACTGTCACTTCATAACTTTTTCCTTATAATAGTGTTTATAAGTCGAAGCCTTTTTCAATTAATAATAACCAATCTCCCCTGTTCTGTAATACAGTACTGTCTTGCATCAGTTTTTCTGGTACAACACTATGTCTGAGGAATAAAATCTATTAAAGTTTTTTCTTCCTCACTGGAACCAGATACATTTATAGCATACTTGATGATATTTCTTGTGTGCACACTATTTCTGTATTCTTTGTATCATATTCCACAGTTCCATTTATGTTGTTGAATGTTATTTACACTTTTTTATATATATCTCTGTAAAATATGAGTCCAGTCCAGTATGTGATATGCTTATTTATAAAATAATTCCGATATTGTGATCAGTGAAATTAGTGATAATTAATATCTGCTATATTACTATTTATTTACTGGAATCACAATTTACTTAACTGCAATTGATTCATATTTATCTAACCCAGAGATTCTCACCTTAAATTGGCGCTCCAGAAGTGTGTGTACCAATATGGGGGTAACTAGTTTTGTTCGCCTACTTTACATCAAGTTGTGTAAAGGAACTATGGGCAGGAGTATATTCACTTGGCTAACACAGACAATCTCTGAACTCGTAATAGAACTGAAATGAGGAAAATTAGAATAAAGTTATAGCCCTAACCCTAAGCTGGTACACATACTACGAGAGTACCGAGTTATATTATCTCACCCAGGGCTTCTCATCTTAAATCTACTTCTATTAGACATCATGGCTCTGTATAATTTTTCTAGCAATTGACCACTGCAAACCTATTATATGTATTCTTCATCCCTGCCTGTAATCATTTTTTACAAGTATTTTTATATTCTGTTATTATATCTTTGTTTGTAATTCATAAACGCATATCAATGGCGCTTTTAACGGAGGAAAAAAATATAAAATATGAAATATAAAATCGCAAGGCTATGGAAAAACTTCTTGCAAAAATGAAGGGTGAGCCTGCAAGTCAAAAATTCTCAGTTTGCAAACTGAGATTTCCTTCTGCGAGAAAAATCATTACATTCCCTTGTTATTAATTATTCGAGAACTATCCAAGCGGGTTAGTCATTATTATTGCATTTATCTGATGTTTGATTTATGATATGACATAATAGGGGTGTGTATCTTGTTGATTTTGATAATACTTAGCAACTCTCACCATACATAAAGCAGAACAAGCCAAAGGCCGCCTGAATTTTTAATCTTCTATTTAGAGTTTCTTGCAATGAGGTTCAAAATACCAGAAACCTTTGGATTTGTGAAGTATTCTCGATTTAATTTATTGATGGACCTCCCAGGACACTATCATAAGCATGCTAACATGAATTCTAACTAAAGAGCCCCAACACACATTTATAAAATGATTTTATATCAAATTGTTAATGTTCCCAGAGTTGTGAAAACTAGCAATTATTTTTTCATAATAAATTCTCAGTTGTAACTCAGTCGCTAATCCCCATGCGTGAACAGATAATCCAGATTATTGTTTTCTTTCATTTCTGTAACTATTATAATGATAACATAGCTAGCTGCTTGTTCACAGGTATTAAGAACTCATCTCATTCAATCAGATGCTCTTTCATTTCACTACCACTATTACTGTGTGCAATCACAACACTGTTTTAATTGAAAGAAATAATAATTATTTTGCTGCTTTATTGTTGAATATATTTTTCATACTTCATCATTAATACAAATCAGATAATTGGTACATCTGTGTGTCTTTATCTACTCAGTTGGAGATATGATGCCTATATTGATTTTTCCAAAAGTTGGGAAATTGGCGCAATGAAAATTCTCTGCCTCTGCCCAAAAAATAATGAGTAGTCAGTCAGTAGTTAGTTGTCAAGTGTGTTCCTAGCGTTTAGTTGTGCCAGCTTTCGAAAATTTAGGTCATGCGTTTAGGGCAGGGTCTTGTTTCAATTTTCTTCTGAAAAATAACACTAGGGCTTATTTTCGAGGGATGGCTTATATTTTAATTTATCAAAAACAAAATTACAAAGTGAAGAAATACGAGATTTTCAAAGATACAATATCAAGAATCACTTTTTAAATTCAAGCTAGGTCTTATTTTCAGGGAAACACGGTATTAGATTTCTTTAAGAGTGTTGCTCCTCGATAATTAGCATTGGTTTTTCGCGTCTATCTTCACCCAGGAATGTGATATTTTTAGTTTATTCTTACATTCTGGTTCATTTCTACCACGATGGAAAAATAATCTTCTGATTACTGGTATCATTCACCATTTAAATCCGTACCTCTGCTACGATTTTTTTAGAACCCCCGGAGCCAGACAATGTATTTATCTATCTGATTTTTCAATCTTATCACTACTTGACAACGGGAGACCGAGCAAATGGCGTCTTAATTCATATTTCAGATGATTCCATATTACTGGCGTGCCGTCGTATCGGATACCCCGAAAAACAATTGAGAAACATGAATTCAAGTGCCGGTTATGGATTAAAAATGGACGTGATAATCAAATGTATACAATGGCAGGTGCAAGGGCCCAGATTAGGGCTAGAGTGATAAAAAGTGAAAAGGGGGTATGGCGCGTTAATCGCTCCGTGAAAGCGTGATCGTTTAATCCGTTATCGTTATCCACGAAGTTCTTAAATATAATTTCCTTTTAAGATGTTTGCAGGGAAAATCGGTTAAGATGAGACGAATGAATGGGAATGGAATATAATCTTATTCTTCATAGCCTCAGTAGCTTCGCAGAGATCAGACCCCAAAGATTTATATTATATTGTCGCATCAATGTCATTGAAGATTTTCGCGCTAAGAAAAGAAGCAACGGCATTGGATTGAATATTCTATTTTAGACATGAAATGCTTCTAATTGAAGGAAATATGATTTTCAACCCGTGCCAATAACCGAAACACTGAGTATCTTTCAAGATTTTAAGATTGATGTATTTTATTGCCGAAGAAAACCTTTGGACGGCTAAAATTTCAGAAAAGCACGAAAATTAACCCGTTTAATAATGATTTTTGTAAATCAACCTAATTTCTCGCAAAATCCTTTCAAAACGCTTTCATAAAGCTAACAGAGTGACTTGAACGTCAACGCAGACGACACGACGATGTAAATGAGAGAAGCAGCTGGGCAAGTTAATTATGATGTCATCGATCAGCTGATTTTGTCCCGCTTCTCGATGAAGCATGCGGCGGGAAAAACGAAACGAGAGCGGGAACAACTAACGCTCTCTCGTGTTTCTTAAGCTTTTTACTTTTTTTTTTTCAACTTTGCAATCATTAGTAGGTTCGTGATTTAGGCGTTAGCTCATCTTTTCTATCGCTGTATTTTGGTCTTAGAGCAGTGTTAGCATCTGATATAATTTTACTTCTGTTTGGGTTTTACTGATGTTTAAATTAGGATTCATATTTTTGATATCATTTTTTTATATTCGTCATTGCGTTTACCAGTGCTATCATTACTGCATTATCCTCCGATCCGTTAATTGGGAGTTTGTCACTTCTGCACTTTCGCCTGTAGATTATGCATGTTACAGTGTCTTGTAACGTTTAACATATCTCGGTGTTTTGTAGCGTTTTCTATTCCCCTTTCATAATCTTTATTGACATTATTTATTATTGCAATCATTAATGTGTTAGTCTGTTAGTAAGGCTGCAAGGAGACACTTTCTGACTTTGGCCAGTTGGCGATTGCATTACTAGATCATTCTGTCATTAGATACTGTAAAGACTGAAAGAGGTGGCAGTTTGGATTTGATTGACAGGTTGAACTGTAATTTTAATCCAGGTTTATTTTAGGAGTAATAAAATTGTTTTATTGTCAAAATTTTTATTCTTCAGTCTTTTTAGATTTTACTAAAGTTCAATTTTAAGTTCAAAATTTTGGGTTCATTTTATGAGTTATTATCTTGCACCAATTCTATATCAAAACACAACTGCACTATGGCTACGCAAGGTATCATACCATTTCCGTGTCGAAAACCAAGATCTTTGGCATCCAAGCTGAATTCTACCTCTCCGTATAAATCACCAAAAAATCAGGAGAATGTTAGAAGAACATTGATGTCTATTTCCAACATTCAAAATGGCAATAATCCATGCATCCGATCCATAATGCCACAACCACGATCACCAAGAAAAAGATTGGGTTGGCTCTATTTCTGTATTTACTAGTTTTATTAATTTAGTGCTAAATATTGTTTGTCAAATCATTTGGTCATATAGTATTAACCTAGAATTTCTAAACTAGAAATTGAATCTCTAAATAATGAAATAAGCATAACACTATAAACACTGCGAAAGTAATGGAGAATTTTCCGCGTTTTATTGGTCCTGCTTGCCTGTTGAATAAAAACTTTGCATCTCAGCTATGTATTGTTATATTGTGTAAAGTTTCATAGTGTTAATTCAAAGATTTGTTGGTTTGAAGGTTCAAATCTAGAATATATTCAGTTTTGTATATCCTATTCAAATTATCAGACTGTTATTTCTGTAGTTATTCACACATGTGCTGATCAGTTGACTGTAAAATGAGTCAAGATGAATGTAGCTAAGTTGTCTCCAACCATAATAAGCTTGTGATTAATTTTTTTAGTTTATCTCACTTTTACAGGCGATTCAACAAACACAACGGAAGGTTGGACAAATGATGATTTTTTGAATGAACTATTCAAACTCTCACCCTGCTCTCCAGTGAAACAAAGAAAAGAAATTGTTGATAAAACGCAACACACATCGAAAACTCCGACCAAATCAGTTTCGAGATCTTGTGATTTTCAATCTCCCACAAGAGCGATTCTTTCTCCTATACGAGCATTATCACTGAATTCACCATGTAGAAAAACTCAGATCAACGACAAAAATGTGAAATCTAAAACGGCCAAAGTTTTGCAATTAAAACTTGCAAGAATAGAGGCACCTGGGGATGATCAGAAGTTAGCGCCTGATGAAACGCCGACCAAACCTACTCGAAATCGTAAAACTGTGTCAATCAGCGAGAAAAAAAGCAGAAAGGCAAAAATTGATAACACTTATGCTACGTCAACAGTTTCGATTAGGAGGGTTACACGTTCAGCAAAAAAGTAAGGAATATAAGGCATTTGTATAGTTAATGATCTGTCAAAATATCCATCGTATATTGAAATGTATGGTTGAAGCAACAGTTTCTCTGAGAGACCAATTTCTTATTATTTAAGAATTAGCAAATTTCCATAAATGAGTTTAAATTTTGTCTTTTATTTCAGAATCCACAAATTGAAACTATTCGAAGAAGATGATTTTAAAGAAAATGAAGATCCGAATGAACTTTCACCTTCGCCTAAAAAGCGACAAAAGCCAGCTTCCGAGAGCAGTAAATACCAAAGAGTCTGCAGGACTTTGCTTCCACCTTCACCTGAAAAACAAAAAGCGAAACGAGCTTTGTCACCTGTGCCGTTGTCACCGAAAAAATTGACTGAACAGATCGTCGCGAAAGCTGTTTCACCAAAAACGAGTCGCAGTCTTGAAAATGCACTGGAAACTCCACCAAAGTTAGCAAGTCCCTCGCGCTCAAGACGAATGTTGGAAATGCATAGACCTGACGGTATATATATTATTTATTTAAATATTCCCTAATATTTTCGGTACCTTCATACTTTCATACTTTTCTCGTTGTATTGACATGAATCAATCAGTCATTCAATTAGTATTTACTACTGGGCAATAACTCAGCTATAATAAGGTATGTAGCTCCTGGCCCTTCAGTGTTTGCCCGTAAGGAGGTTCAAAGATCTATCTCCTTTTTTTCTAATTGAATGTGCGAGACATTGCATTGAGCATGAACAAATATAATGTACAAATTAAAAAAAAAGGTCCACTCAATGTGCAATTTGTGTCAAGCTGTAAAGATACAAAATATTATATTTTTATTAAGAATCTTTACTGCTTGTTGAAGACTTGTTGCGAGTGAAAATACAAAAACACCCTAGTAAGAAAAATTTGGATAACTGCCTTTTCTTGATATATGAACCATAGGAATGAATCATTTTTTAATAAAGTTTCAATGTTACAAATTCATAATCATAAAAGTATTTGCTTCTTGAATTTTAAGTCAATTTTTTCATGTGTGGCTTCTTTTCAGGTTTTATTTACCAACACACGAAGCGTGCCTTACATTCATCAGTGCCAGATGTTTTAGTTGGTCGAGAAGAGGAAATCCAGAAAATCTCTCAATTTATATCATATGGTGTGACAAATCAGAAGTCTGGTAGTCTTTATATATCTGGTGCTCCCGGAACGGGGAAAAGTGCTTGCTTGATGAAAGTTCTTAACAATGATAAGGTTAGCAGATGTATGTTTATTTGCCTCAAAAAGTAACAGTATCTGCATAATAATCAAACAGTGTAAAAGACTGGATACAGATCAAGACCTTACTGACCTAAGACACAGATGTGCGACATAACCCCTAAACAGATGGTATTTACATTCGTTCAATTTGTGATGGATGTTTGCTTTATTTTATTGCAATATTCATTTGAACCAGGATTGAATTTTTTGATTTGATGCATTGTCTGATTGCTTTATCCATTTTTTGTTATAACTATAGTAATTGTACTGAAACTGGTCCTTCAATTTCGAAGTAGAATTTTAATTTGGCTGTATTGAGCATTGACTTATGATATGAGAAAATTTGTAATTAATCAAAATTATATAATTTTCATTCTCTTATTCAATAATTACTGTCATGCCCTGATTTTTTAAAACTAGTTCACACTACACAGAGGGAGGAAGCTACATTTCTCCCTTTTCATTACAATTTCCTGTCTTTTGTTATTGTAATGAACTTAACTCTCTTTATATATATATTGTCTACTTTCCGTGAATAATTAGGTCATTAGCAAAATTGTAATCTATTGTTTTTTTATTGTAAGGACTATTTTGAATATTAATTGATAAATTAAATTTAATTAATTTTCCCACGATTTGGTACGAGTTGGACAATAAGGTGGAGTGTTAGGAAATGCATGTAATGTACAACTGATGTATGTCTCCTATGTCTCAAACTGTCATCCTAAACATATTGGAATCGGTTTATTCCTATTTTGAAACTCCATTCATTAGCGATAATGGTTTCAGAGTACTTTTGGGTCTATTTCTTTTGATGTGACAATGCATAAATAAGTTTTTTTGCCATTTTTATTTTTTTCAATGGAAAATTTGGTTTTTTTGGAGGTACCGGTATTAAATACTGAGTTTTCAGTTTTGATAAATTCTAGTATACAATTGCTCTATAGTCTCGCGTTACCATTCTATCCTTTTTCATCGTCAAATATTTTCGTTCAGATCACCAATGCCTCAGCAAAGAAGTCCGTTGTGATCTCAATAAATTGTATGTCAATGCGGAATTCAACTGCTATATACACAAAAATTGCTACAGAGTTGGGAGCAAAATCATCTAAATGTAAAACTGTGCGTTCTGCCATGAAGTACCTTGAAACAGTGTTAACTTCTGATGGACCTTCTGTGTAAGTCTTGGAGATGTATATTTTTTTAATACAGGATAAATATTTTTTATTTAATTCGTTTTCTATGGATGTTTTTCTGACCCTTTTGTTCCCCATAAAACCTGAACAGGTATACATCTCTAAAGTGACAATTTTGTTTCGAAAAAGCTGTCTGGAAAAGTACTGGCATTTAATTTTGGCCTAATCTATAGAGTTATTTGTTTTATACCTTAATTTACAATGCATAATTATTTACTGGCAAATAGCAACCAAAACGAAAAGAACCAAGCCAAGAGTTCATGACCGCACTTTCTTTTAGAGTAAAAGAGTTAGAATTCGATGCATCCATTGACTGGCTATTTGAAATTAGGCTCTTAGTCAATGCCATTCAGTCCTAACCAATTCAAATTGCATAAAGAAGCAATGTCAATAATATTATTTTTATTTTCAGCATTTTATTATTGGATGAGATGGATCAGCTGGATAGCAAGAATCAAGAAGTTTTGTACACAATATTTGAATGGCCAGCTCTAGAAAATTCTAGATTGTTGCTTATTGGCATTGCAAATGCTTTGGACTTGACTGACAGAATCTTACCAAGGTAAAATACATAATATTCAATTTCGTATGATCAAGCCAAGCTGTCTTGTCGCTTTTCTCTCTGCCAAGAAAAAATATGAAAATCATATCTGTCTGAAAAATGTTATTTGCTATTCATTCTAGTGCACTAGGTGGTAAATTGTAGAAATGTCGTTATTACTTATCGATTTTAATCGTTAAGTATGTTGATAGGTATTTGTCTGTATGTCTGTTAGATGCACGCGATATCTCATGAAGGCGTGGTTGAATCTGCTCCAAATTTTGCATGTGCATTCATCATATCTTGGACCAGAAGCCTATTGATTTTGGATGAATTATGTCGTATAATTAGCGAGTCATTAATTAATTAGTGATGAAGAGATCTGGATTTTTACAAAGCGAGAGATTTTTGAGAGGCGTTAAATGTGTGTGTGCGTGTCCGATGCGCAAGTTTTCACGCTAGTGAATCAGAGCGAAGGCTACACACCGCTAGATCGTATCTCGTGATTAATCTTTAAGCATTGTCCATATCTCTCGTCACGATGCGCAAGTTTCCTTCGAGAAATTTTCCACGCTATTGAGTCAGAGCGAAGGATACACACCGCGAGATCGTATCTCGTTACTTATAATTACTCTTTAAAGTTCAAGCAATGTCCATATCCCTCTATCAGGGCCGGGGTTGCAGAATTCCTTACCAAAATATCGCTAGGCTGTGTTTGAATAGCCTTCGCAACCCGGGTTAGCGCCGTTGTATTTGACACAAAATATAGGATTGGTAAATAGGCTATTGGCTGGAAACTAATCGAAACAATCCAGTTCGGATTTGCAGAATTCTTCATAAAAGTATTTCCTCGAGTAGTATTTCGACGACGACGTGGGTAGTTGGCTATTGTTTCCTACATTTTTGAAATTGGCTGAAAACTAATCAAAACAATCCAGTTCGGGTTTGCAGAATTTTTCGAATCGAAACCGCAGTTTCTGTTTTGGGGGATCCCCTAACTTTCGATAAGTCTTCGGTCTCTGACAGATATTCTCGTTAATATATATTTGCACTATATTGTTTTGATTACAATTAATATTGTATCTATGTAATGCAAGGATATTGTGTTGTAAAGTTGACTATTATAGGGGATTCAGAACTCTTGCTGCACACTAAAATAAATGTATTTCTGTAACGTTTCATACAGTCAAACTCAGACCTCTTCAATATTTGAATATAATATATACTAAATTGATTTGATTTCCTTGTTTCCACTCGGAATCAGGGAATGGCGATCAGATATTGAACTTATTTTTTGATTTCCAGACTTCAGTCTCGATCAAAATGCAAGCCAACATTGATAAACTTTCAACCATATTCTAAAGATCAAATTGTAGCCATTCTGGAAGGAAGGATTAAACAGGTATATTCATTTTTAGTCCAAAGCAAGACGGCATGTTATCTTTACTTAAGATTCACGTTAAGAATGGGAATAAAAGTTGACACAATGGTCTAACAGTTGGAGCATTTTATTACTCGTGCTGTAATAAAAGGTACTCCGTTAGTGTGTGTACCGGGTTAGGGTTCGGCCATAATTTTATCTCCAATTTCATTATTTTAGTTCTATTACAAGTTTGGGAACTGTATGTGTTAGCCAAGTGAATATACCCCCTGCCCATAGGCTTCTGTTCCTTTACACAACTTGATGTAAAGTAGGCGAACAAAATTAGTTACCTCCATATTGGTACACACACTTCTGGAGCGTCATAATAAATGGGTAATTTTTGGTCCATTCAAATAATGCAGTTCCTTACCCACCAGTAGCTTCATTTACAGAGTCTTATTTTGAGTGAAGTGTAGGGAAATTTTGTACTGAATCCAGTGACTAAGGGACTGGTTTGTTAGATTAGTCGGCAATTTACCAACACAAAAATATCAGTGCCAAGCAGCATAGAATGATAGAAACTGTTTTTTAATACACAGTAAAATTATACATTCAACACTAACTCTAAATTAAAAAAAATTGTAACTTTGCTTTTAGACAATGGCTGAAAACTGTAACGAGAGAGTAATAGATGCAATGGCTGTTCAATTCTGTGCAAGGAAGGTTTCTGCCGTGGCTGGCGATGCAAGGAAAGCTCTCGATGTTTGCAGACGTGCTGTAGAAGTTGTCGAAACTAGCGTTAAATCACAGCACGTTCTATCACCATCTGGGAAAGAGAACTGTAAGAATTTTTTTCCGAAAATTTTCTGTTGTGCAATAGTGTGGGATTACTAATAGAAATGCGGTGCTGGATTACACTTGTTTCAAATTAGATTATTTTAGTGTTTATTTCAAATTAACCTCGAATCGCATCATGGTACAGATGTTAAGTTAAAACAACATGGAATTATAAAGTTTGATCTGTGATTGCAGATGGTGGGTAAAGCGTTTGTACTCTAATATGTTGGCTTGCAGGGGGGCAACCCTAGTGGGTAGACAATGCCAAAACCAAAATTGCTTTATGAGGAGCCTTGTGTGTTCAGATAGTATAAAAAATACTTCTATCAGAGTATTTATGTTTACTCTCTGTATAATACTAATTTTGTTTATTCCAAGGTGTCAATCCAGTTACCAAGAAAGTGGGATTGCAACAGATCGCAGGAGTACTTTCTGGTGTTTATGAATCATCAATTGCCCACAAAGCAAAGACAAATGATGAAGAAAATGAGGAAGAAGCGTTTCCACTTCAACAGAAGCTTGCAATTTGTACTCTTATTCTTCTGTCTCGTCACATCAAATGCAAAGAAGTCACAATGGGAAAGGTAACTTGGTTAATTTGATTTTTGTGCACTTACTATCAGGGGTTCCTTTAACTCAAGCAGTTGTTCTCGAACTTCCATGTTCCATGTTCCCCAAAACCCTGCAGTTTGGCTCGTCAAAACCCTTCCACAGTTGGTTATCTCCAGTATTTTACTTGGTTTATTGTACATGATACATGGTTACCTTGTATCAGTGGTTCCATTAACCTGTTAAATAGTCATGAAAACCTTATCTTTCTCTTATCTTCTCTGCCTTGTTCTAAGCGTTAGAAATGCGCTAACCATATCGAGGAAGTTTAAGTTTTGTCAGGATAATTATGCCAGAGAGGATTCACATAACCGCTTTCGGTTACAACTTTTTTGACCATCAAGTACATGTATCTGAAACAACAACCTTTTCCCATACCTGACAGGAAATGGTATCGAACAAGGGGCCTTGGTTCGTGATAGGATAAAGTCTTATTGACTTTTCTCCTCCCCTGGGATAAAAAGTGAAAATCCCACATCTTACTATTTCAATCATTAATTATTATGTTTCCATCAGCTCCATGAAGCGTATACAAAAATATGCAAGAAGAGACAAGTCACTGCTGTCGCACAATCAGAGTTTAGTTCTATATTACAACTCATCGAGACTCGTGGAATTCTGAGCATCAAACAAAATAAGCAAGCAAGAATGACAAAGGTGTGTAAGAAATGCCATGCCTTGTTCTAGATGTCAATTTTTGGTACTCCCGTAGTGTATGTACCAGCAGGTTAGGCCATAATTTTATTCCAATTTTCTTTATTTTAGTTCTATTGCGAGTTCAGGACTACACAGACAGTCCTGAACTCGTAATAGAACTAAAATAAGGAAAATTGGAATAAAATTATGGCTCAACCCTAATCAGTACATACTGATTACGAGGCTGGCGACAATACTGTATTATAAACTCGTATTACGTTCAAGGAGACTTTAACTTCAAGGGGAATTTCAACTCTGGTTGCCATGAGTCCGACCAACAATATTTGATTTCGTCATAGGCCCTAGTCCATGAGCCTACAAGTTTCGAATCTTTGAATTAATAACCTTTTATCTCTTTCACAGATTTCACTGTCTCTGCAAGAAAAAGATGTTGAATATGCCTTGCAAGATAAAACTCTTCTTACTACAATTTTACTCGAGGGTCTACCAAAGTAATTTATCATGAAACCTATTTTACCTTTTCCGTTTGTTAAGTACTGCCAAGCTATTTCGTGCTTTGTACTGTGTTAGTGTTCATTTCGTTGTTTTTTCCCTTTATTTGAGGCAATATTGTGAAAGATTCAAATGTTTTTTAGAATTTTAACCATGTGCTTTTTGATTGAAAAATCTTGGTGCTGCTGTTTTTAAATGTTTTATTATTTCTTTGCAAGTTGTTTTATCGTGATGTTATCACTGCCTCAATAAATAGCATGTTTAAAAACAGCTTTTTGAAGTTGACTTGTGGTATTTCATATATTGCTGCATTTTTTTGTTTGATTCTATTCAGAACATCAGGAGTTTGATTTAGAGTTTCTAATTCTGTTTTAATGTAGCAACATATTTTCAATATTAACTTAGAGTAAGTGTAGGCAATTTCGTGGATGAATATAGAAAAGACTTTTGGAAATTTTTTTTTCCGACTTCCGATCAAAGGTCTGAATTGTTCGTTCATTGCCAAAGTGACGTTTTTGATAGCCATAATATTCACCAAGGCAAAATGGTTTTAGTACCAAACATTACTCACTCGAGTGATAAGTTGTAGAATGGGAATCCTATTCTTCAATTTTGCAACACTGGAGCTTATATAACGATCTTTTGTTGAGACTTTCAGCAATGGTTCCACCAAAACCCACTAATTGATTTGCCAGGGATAACTATATAATAAATAGGGTAGCCCAAAACAATCAATTCTCCAGGACAATATACTAGTTTAATCAGAATTCAGCTAGTGTTTTAAAATTGCTTTAAATCAAAAATTCTGGAACACGCCTATAAAAGTAGGCTGTTTGGGACGATGTTTTGCTTCGTTCGGCCTGCCGTTCAGGTCAGATACAGTTTATTGTCAGTGAACTGCCTTGCCATAGCAAGACAATCAATCTTTCATCACAATTGAACCTACGAATTCATGCAGGGTAATCAGTGGTGTTCCTCTTTTACCACATGCCACCCAAGTCTTTTGTCCCACCAGATAACTAAAATGGAAGAGCCTAACATGTTTAAAGCAATCTTCTAGTACCGAATCATGCAGGGTAATCAGTGGTGCAATTGCAGACAAGGTGCCAACCATCGAGCTATGTATCAGCCCTCACAAACAAGACTCCAGACACAATATCACTTCATTTATGCTACTGAAGTCCTTTATTTACCACATGCCAATCTGTGTGTTGGAATAATATTCAACCAATCAGAACCCAGCTTTTCTTTTTAAATCACTTTGAATCAATTAGATAGACAGTAGGCATTCCTGCACAAACTTCAGGGCCTGCCGTCCAAGTCAGATATTAAAATGACTAATACCGTAATTATTTACCAGATCTTGTCCCATCAGATGACTAAAATGGGAAAGCCTAACTAACCATTCATGTTATTTATTGTCTTTAGGCAATCTTATATAATAAACTGTCTTTCACGTGACTTCAATCTTGTAACCCAAGCACGATAATTATAGTACGATGGCAAGGAAACATACTGCTAATAATGCGTTATATCCTGCTTCCAAAACGCCCCATCTTCTACTCATTATACAAGACCAAAGTCATGAAAATGTTCCATTTAATCAATAACAATATATTCCTCTTTAACAGAGGAAGTATCTTTTAGCAATTTAGAAGGAAAAGATGGATGTCGACTCATTGTAAAAGTTTTCGGCTTGATCGGGGTTTCATCGTCGTTATCATAATCAGTACATTTTTTGATTGAAATTTCATCCTCTGTATCGGTCGTATCATAATCTTGAGTAGATTCCACATCCGACTCATTTTGAGTAAAATAAAGTGGCAGATATTCATCTATATTCGGAGGTTTGATATCAAGATAATCGTTTTCTTTTTCTCCATCACCATGAAGAATCTCTTTGTCCAATAAGATTTCTCCATTCATTTTGTTGTTTTTCAAATATATTTTGTCAATATAATCCACACATTTTGAAATATCCAAAGAAATAGCTGCTTCACGTATCATACCAATTTCATCAGCTTCCATGTCTTCAAGGCCAATGATTTTTCCAGTATAAGCAAATTCTATAATCTTGATAAGATCTTGCATACTCAATTCTTCATCGACTTCGAAAACTTCATTCCTATGAAGTCTTATTTTCTTTGATATTGTTGCAAATATGAGTTTATGTGCTTTCAAAGTCACCTGTCGTCTTGTCTTGGAACTGTTGACTTTGAATGTTAAATCGCAGAGCTTTCCGTTCTTCTGCATTGCATAGAGAGATTCCAGAAGATCTGTTTGGTATGTGGCATGAGTATCTGAAACAATTTAAACATTCTGTTGAGCGCAATTATGTTGGTTCCACAAGTTGAAAATCTCAAGCCAACCCCCAGGTCCACCATCTACAACAGAGGTCGGGAACCCATGGCTCGTGAGCCATATATGGCTTTTTTGGTGACGGCATATGGCTCCCAGAAAAATCTACTATTCTAAAGCTAAGCTCACCATCGTTACGACATTTTAAACTCTTTTATAGCCAAATGTGGCAAAAAATTTGCGGATACGTTCGAGAATGCGCGGCCAGCGCATGTCTATGTTATCTAAGAGTTACCAGACAGGTATTGTGACAAAATTAGGGGATTCTGGAACATATTTTGTGACATCACAAGCGATAGAGTCGCGGAGCAATAGAATGAAGCTTTGCGTCTGTTTGTACGTACTAGTTACAGTATTTGTCCTATTCAAATCGGACTAGCAAAGCTAGTTTTTAGAATACTACGGATATGCCTAAACGAAAGAAGGTGATGACTATCATAGATTTCAACTTGTGCTGCATGTGAGCAGCAGTTCAAGGCCCGCAGCGACAACATGCAGCATCAGAAGTCACATCAAATGTATATTGACATTGTATGTGTTGACTTTTGAGTAAAAATTTCAGGCCTGATTTAAGTGAAGAAATGCTATATGGCTCGCACGGAAATGCAGTTGAAAATATGTACCTTTTATGGCTCTCTTGACCAAGAAGGTCCCCGACCCCTGATCTACAAGATAACTTAGACCAGAGCCGAATTGCATCAAAGCTGTGTAAGCCCTTTATAAAAGGCAGATAATACAGACGTTTTTCATGTGTTTTAAGGTCCTAATTAGATTCAATATCCAGTAACTGAACGAAAGCGTACTTTAATATCCAAAATGGTTCCCATACCTTCAACTTCTTCATCCGGTTTTGCCGCCTTATCAAAAGATTCATTTTCAGAGGTTGGTTCAGTTTTTATCCATTGGAGGTTGTCTTTGCAATCTCCTACAGACAAAGAAATTCAAGGATGTAAAAAGCTTTGTGTAAAACTAAATTCAAGGCAATCAAATTACATCTTTCGAGTTCAAGAATAGGTATGGATAAATAAACAAAGTGACAGGTGTAGTTCAGAGACCAGAAAAAGTTTTAGCATGACTAATTTTTTCTCTGGGCTACTCTTTTTGCTTTTTTAGCCCATACAGATAGGAATATTTTTTTAAAATTTCACACCAATTCCATAACTATATTGCCTTTGATACCAAATTTGGTATCACCTTCTTTCACATTTTTTCAATAAATTGCATAATAAAATGCATGCATGGCATACCTGTGTCCTGTTTGTTTTTGGATTTTCGTCTTGTATTGTCATACGACCTTGTCAAATTTCTCTGCAATTTGGTTTTTCGATCTAAAAAGGGTAAGTGGGTAAGTGTTTTTTGTATTCACGTTGGAAATGCTTCTAAGATATTTTTTTGAAAAAATAAATAGCTTATAGACTGCAGATTATACAAATTTTCAGTAGCGTACCTATAGCTCTAGGTTTTCATTTTCCTAAAAAGTGACTTTTTGTAGGCAGTAATTTTATGTGTGGCTTTTTGAATACAAAAGCAGCATTTAATCACATAGACAGGCAGAAACTACACATCTTTGTGTCTTAAATTATCAGAAGATTTCTGCACTTACTGTATGATAGGAAGCTTTGTCTTTCCCTCTTCACATTAGTTCTCATCTTCTGCATTGTGATATCATCTTTTGAATCATGATGGTTGGGCAACTTTTATAAAGAAAAGTTTTTTAAGTATATGAATGAACGAACATTTAAAAGGAGATTAACTGACAATGAAATAGTTGAGTAAAATAAGGTGGTTTTCACGTCAGACTTAACTGTGGTTAAATCTCATGCCCCTACATCACCCAGGGTGTAATAAATTGGGTAGACAATACCGAACTTGGAATCATTTTGGTACTTCCAAATTAAGAAGCTTTTTTTTTATACTAGCGGCTACCTATACAGGGCCTTGTTCAGAGCGTGATGGGAAAAACCGTTGTATAAGAAAAAATATTGTTAATGATAAACATTACCAGAATTTTACTTTTCTCGTCTCTTGGAAAATTCGAAGGCGTAACACGTTTTCGATGCCGGAAAGGGTTTCGTTCAAGTTTAGTTTTACCACCTGTGAAATAAATTAAATAATAAGTAACATGACAATTATAAATTATCACTGATGAAATATGTTGAAACAGATTTTGCAACTTCCTAGGGGTCCGCGAGTACAGTCCAGGGATTCAGTAAGTTTCCATTTAAATCAGAAATTTGTTTATTGTTTGAATATTATCAAATACCTTAGGTTTGCCACTATTATTTAACTTGCTACTCTTTAATGATCATATTGTTCGACCAATACAGTATCAAGTTCGCTATGTGTTTATATTTTATACTCTAAAATACATGAAACTACTGCTCAGGAGCCTAAGCTCTTGAATTGCTCATAGGGGTCCTGCTCCACCAAAAAGGTTGGAAACCACTGATACAATAGATAGCAATACACAACATAGTAACAAATACTACGTACCGTACATGGATAAGTTCCTCTTTTTTCTATGTTTTCTTTTTTTGATTTGTGTGGACTGAATATAACCTATCTGAAACAGAAAACAAATTTGTACCAGACTTCACTTGTAACAGAAGTATGAGTACAGATAAGACCAGCATCATTTGTGCACAATCTTGTAGGTGACATGTATAGGCTGTCGAGTTGAAGCACTGGTATGTACCCCCAGATTCAGATATTTCATTTTGCCATGCATGAAACATTGTCAACAAATAATAAAAAATTAAAATGAATCAAAGACACACAATGTTTTGCAATCGCCAAGGAGTCGCGAAAGACTAACAAGTTATCGTGTCAGCGACACATATATGCTGAATTACATCAGCAGATATAGAACAAGAAATTGGGTTTATAATATACAATACTGAACACCATACAAGCAACAACTATAGATT